TTTGAGAACAAGGTGAAGGCGATATGTGTTAAACCAATATTTCTGGCATGGGGATGTGTACAAAACCAAACAGTTGAGACAGTACTGGGTTTAGACGTGTTGGGTGGAACAAATGACACGAACGTGTCATTTGTATCTCCCAACACGTCAAAACCCAGTACCGTAGGTGGACGAATAATTCAAACCCTTGCAGAATTCACCCCCCTACCCCCCATAGTTCAATGTTGGCCTGTTGGTGAAGGAGGTTGGCTTGAGTGGACGGATCAAATCAAACCCCTGACAACAAAGCATCTTGTTACCGAGACAACATTGAAATCGGGGGTGCGGGGGTACTAGTAGTAAGGCGCCTTGCTACTAGTAGCTCTGGACTTGGATTGAAATCGATGATGGGCCTCTCCACGGTTCACCGATGCCACCGAACTGCCACCGATCCACTTCCACATGCTCCGGAAAAAATCATAGGAAAACACCGTGGCCGACCGTCAAGGTTTGGAGCTGGTGAAGCGACGCTTGGACTTGGAAGATGACCCCCGGTTGAGGCGACCAAGTAAAAGCGAAGTGGCCGGCAAGCCGTCGGGGGGGCTGGCCGTTTTCTCAGTAGGACGAGTTAATCACCCCCAGGGTTTAGTAGACTTTCTCTGAGCCCAGAGATTCTTCACGATGACGGCGGCAGTGATGGTTTTTTGCAAGGGTGCGGTTTTCCTGTGCGTTCAGGTTGTTCCAGCTGTCTCGTGAAGAAGCACAACATATGCGATGGTGCGCAGGGTCGAGTGTGAGGGAATCGTCCTTGAAGGTGTCACTGGACACCAGCCACATCGCATCCGGCCGGCCACACCCGCAAAGATCTAGAATGGTCATGCAGTCATGCATGATGGAACGATTTTCCCCATTGGTACATTGGTAGGGTCAGGTGGTCTCAGGCATGCGCCTGTTTGGTGATACCAGTCCAATCTTCTATAGCAGAAGCTCTCAAGTGTCGAGTCATTTTATTTTTTTGCGTGGCGAGATGAGACCAACAAGCACCTTGCAACGAACTTTTGTATTCGCTCTCGCCCAAGCGGTTTTTTTGGGTCAAGTGCTTCTAGCTTTGAGGTAGAGGCCTTGGACATCCCATGGAGACAGAGGTGCAACTCACCGGTTCAGCTTTCAGTCAACCTCTCAGCTCTCGGTTCGCCAGGCACGATCGGGAGTTGATTGGCGATCGAGTGAGGCGCGGGACCTGCCATGGGAGACTTGCTGAGGCGTTGAACAGCCAACATGGGTTTGTGACGGGCGGCACAATGAATGTCAATGAACATATTGCTGTGCATAATCTCAGGTGAAGGTCAAGGTATGGACAGGCAGATATATATATATATATGGAGATATGTTTATTTCTTTTCCATCTATCTATCTATCTATCTGCATACCCAGATTCAACCGGAAAGGGTATGTTGCACTGGGTCGGCCGACATTGGTTGTGTGAGATCTTGTTGGCTTGTGACCACCTCGCCTCGGCCTCAGGAAGGAGGTGGAACAGGAGCTCGGGAGAGGCCCTGTGGCCGCAGACTCAGCTCCATACGTCGATTGGTGGGTGGGGCCTGCAGTTTGGAGCCTCACGTCAAACTGCGGAGTTCAATTAGAAAGCCCAAAATATGGAGATGACACCGTGCAAGACCTATATTCCTTGAGGTCTTGTGAGTGTTGTATCATTTGATCGTTGGATGGCCACTGTCGACTGCCTGCTTGGTAGACACATAGCTGGGTAGTTGCTAGTAGCTATTATATAAAACCTTGCAGCACAAGCTCAACATTTGTTTGCATCCCAGCGAGGCAGAGCAAAGAAATGTTAAAGAGTAGGATTGACAAACTGACAAACAGGATGAATGATATAATTACATAATATAGAGGTTAAGTAATAACGGAGCATTTCAGCAAGATGCTTCGTTTGGTGGCCTCCCGCACGTGCAGTTTATTTGATGAATTGCTATATGCTTGTGCGCCCACACCAGCCCCAGCAGCTACAGGTCTACCAGCTGGTGGGGCAAGATTCCTTTGAGAAGGTCAGAGAAGCACCCAAGCCGTTCCTGTACGGAGGCGGTAGCAGAAAAAGCCCCTCAAGCTAATGGTGGCACCGGAAGGACAATCGCCTCCAGACTTTGGTGCGAAAACTCAACTAAGGGCTCTATACATAGAAGACAGTCGAAGACATAGAACGCATAGAAAACGCTGTGTTGGAATTTTGAGAATGAGCTTGCAGGAAGCAGGGGTGTGAGGCAATGTGAGACTTGCACCTCATTTGTTCCCCCAGTGAGCGGTTGGAATGCCACTAGAAAAATGGATACCAGCCAAAAACTTCTGAATTTTCTCTATATATACGTAAGTACATCCTGAGATGGTAGATAGGCCCCTAAACCCATCATTATATATACCATACATATTAATCCATATTATACCTATGACTACTTGAACCCTTAGGCTGGTTCTTGTTAATTCACGAAGGCGGGTGCAATAATGGGTGTACGTGTTCAATGTCTAATTCAAGCTGAAGATGCCTCCTGTGGTTTGTTTTCAACGAGGTGTGTGGACCCCTCAAGCAATTTGTTAATGGTTATTGTCCACTGGTGTAAATCTGTATATGTGTTTACCTATGCTGTTATGTTAGAGGGCCATTCCTGTTAGGTTGGAGGCCACCGCTACCATCGCTAGTAGGTTGGAGGTGTCTACTTGTTCTTTTGCTAAATTGGAGGCCAGCCGCCTCAAGCAATTGGAAACTTCTTGGAACCCCCCACCGGGCCATATTTTGCCCATGGCAGGCGATTCATCACGGCCAGTTCGGGAAGCCCAGCGACGTGTTGAAGGGCCTGGTTGGAAGAGTTATTTTTGCTCGCCATGCTCTCGTTGTTGCTGTGGTCTGGTGAACATCCAAGAAGATCCAAGGTCAGCTGCAAAGGGCAAGGGCAAAGGTCGAAAAGGGATTTTCTCGACGAGTGCTCCTGGTTTGGTGGTCGCTGTTTGGACCAGTTCGGTTCGTCGATGGGTTCGGATTTGTTCGGAGGACACGAGCTGAAAAGAGCTGAAAAGGTTTTAAAGGTCGTTTTTGCACTCCCTACCTAAAGCGATGGCCTCCAACCAAAAGATAATAGCCATGGCCTCCAACCTAATAGCATCTAACAGCGATGGCCTCCCCCAATAGATGAATCATGCTTCTTCTTTACTTTGTTGTTGTCGTTGGTGGCGGTGGTGCTGTTCTCGGAGAATGTCAATCCACTCATGCAGGGAAGTGGGAGGAGCACTGCTATGGACTTAGCCAAAGACCATTAGAATCTAGTGACCACGTTCAGTAAGTTGCAAGTCTCTGCCAGCGAAACCAGGTACGCACTTCCTGGTTTTCCCTCGAGCAGGGGCTGCCCCTGACGTGCAGGTTCGGGCTGATTTGGGGATGTTTTGTGCAGTTTCCTTCGCATGCATCCCCAGCACGTTGGATCTATTCATGAAAAGTGCTTGCTTTGCGGGAGGAAAGCATTGCAAGACCCCTTGTCAATTCACTCTGTCATTACCGCCGAGTACATGCTGAAACTCTGAGGGGAAACTATGCAACTTGACGCTTTCCAGATTCTTCAGCTCCTTCATCCACGGTTAGAAGTTTGGGGCGCTGGCAATTGCCTTCTGCCAAAACAGCTGGCAGACCTTTCGCTGCAGGGGAGACCTTCCGTCTCCCCAGGTGCCTCACCAAATGAAGCGACGTGTGACAGTGGTCAAGGACTGCAAGCTTCGGCCGGCTGCACACCACGTTTGGGCGAACTTGTTGTGAAAGACATCCAGAATTCGGTTGTTCCAAGCTGGAAACACCAGGATCTCAAGCTCTGATGATATGCAGATGGTGTGTCTCCTGCGAGGCGAGATGTGTTGCTCCTGCTTGGTGCTAAGTCCCCAAGCGTTTGTCAGCCTATGAGTTCACAGAGGATGGTAGATGCAGTGATGATGAGGATGAGGATGAGGATGATGATGACGGAGACCCATGTTTGTGCTACAGTGAAGTGTGATGGAAGGGCGCGAACGTGCTTGTTTGCACGCCCTTGCTCAAAAGAGTAGTGGGAGTGCAATTCTGAGTGGGTCGTGAGGAGGTACCTGAGCCCGGGATGTTTGTTGTCTCTTCTTTGCAGTTATATATTCTATTCTATAGTGATGAGTCTCCATTGGTTGGTCATAATTTCCACGACATTCATTGTCATGCATCGGCATCCATTTTGTGGCATCCCATTGTCATTGGCTCTACGCAAAGCATTGGTTCTCGTTCTCCCCTGTGTCTCATTGATTCTTACTCGCAAGTTTGGGCCCTTGAGCCATTTGGAGCCTCGCCTGTTTGGGGTGGAAGTGACCTTCATCGCTTTGGCATGCGGTGGTTCTATGAATGGCGGAACTCGAGGGAACCCCAGGACTATGCTGACCAATTCCCAGGACTATGCTGACCCGCAGCCCTTGTCCTCTACCAGCATCCGTCCGCACCCCCAGAAGATCCCAGAAGTGTCGTGTTGTCGATTCCCTGGCTTGCGGGGTTCCTTCAAGTTTGGTTCTATCGTCTAACTTTCAATGATCAATTATACAACCAGTTTTTTTCAACTGCGAGTTGCCCATCATCAGAAGTCATTATCAGGTCGCGGGCACCTGCATCAAGTCAAGTTGAGCAAATTACTTTCAGACTTTGGTCATGCCATTGAAGTGCAGCAAGGTCACTCAACCTTCTCTTTAGGCTCATTGCCTCACCCTCCGTTCCCTTTGCGTCTCATTGATTGCGGACCTCGATTTGCACTGACCTTGCCACGAGTGTACTGCCCGGAGATCTCTCGCTTCACAGATTTTGAGGTGCCCTGGCCGAGTCCTCTTCCTTGCAAGACAAAGTCCATCCTAAGCTTCTCGGCATGCGGGGTTGAATCATTGAACGCAACAATGAAAGGTATAGTCAATCAGGTACAGGGATGCTATTCCGTGCTGTTCAGGTGTTCGTGAGTTCAAGGTGAGAGGCTTCCCATTTTTGCAGACGTGTTTGACACATTGCATGCGCTTAAAGCGCGGCTTTGAGGATCGTTGGGGTCGAAGCCTTTGGCCAAGTGGTGTGCCCATTCGACTGCACTGCTCTGAGGCTTCTAGACCAAGTGCTGGACACCTACACGTGTGCAGACTCAGACATTGATGCCATTTGCACGGCCGATGTCTCGAACATAAGACGTAGACGTGTTACGTAGATGCAAGGCCTGCAAGGCCTGCATATTTCTTGGCGCTGTTGGTTGAAGATCCAACTGGAACAAGAAACTCTGGCGCGTCACCAGTGTGATGCCATCATAAGACTACAAGACGCGTACAAGTGGATGCCACACAATTATCTCAGGAGATCCTACAACTACACAGTCTTGGTCCCTACTTCATCCTGGAATCACCAGTAGAATGATATAGAATGTAGACCTGTCGTGCGGTCTTTAACTTCTTGGCAAACCTTTTCCAGGACCTGGAAGTAGGTTGCACAAAATTTCGCCATTCAACCAGAAATAGAATTATATGAATGTGTAAGTATATAAACACATATAGAATAAACTATGAATATACATATATATATAACTTATATATTCATATAACTTATATATGTTATGGTATAAAAATGATGATCATTTATAAATTATATATATATACTAAACTAGAAATATGCACATATAGCTGACTCTGGGCCACCAAGGCGCCGGAGGCGCTTCCTTCTGCTCCTCCTGGGCCCTCCTGGTTCTGGGAAGACCGCCTGAACGGGATGGGAAGGTGCTGTGGTGATGATCGGCGGTTTGTAGAAACATTTGGATTGCTTGAAAGAACCGCTGTTTTGGAAGAAAGCTGAACCATGCTCAATCCATGTCAAGCCTGGGTTGTCCCAATCTGAAAGAATAACAACCGATACAACTGACTGGCATTTGGGTACTGTATTTGTTCAGTCAGTAATTTATGAACTGGAAACGGGTTGCAGAGTGAGCACATTGAGGTGAAATGACCCTTGCAACGAATCCACTTGGCATGTGTTAATTTTTTGCAAGGCCATACTTCACATGGGGTAGCTGTGCTGACGACTGCCAGGGCGATGTGGAACCCTGACAATGGACCCTTGGAAAAACAGAGTTCTCTAAAGGCTACTGTTGGACAGGAGCTGTTTGTCTCCCGTGCTTGAGCTCGACTCTATTGATGGGAAAGGCCTTGCTACAGGAACTGGTATGATGATTTAGGGTTGTCCTTGCCCATGTCACCACAGTTCAGTACACAAAACACACTGGTGGACCCGTTTTGGAGGACTTCTTTGGGGCGCGAGCCGGGAAGCCGCAGCAGAATGTGTTCAATACGAGACTTTGTTCCGCTTCCATGTTGGCAGGGCCGGGTGTAGTTTGATAGATAGTACTTGGAACATGTTGAAAGGTGCAAACACTTGCAAGTAAGGAAGTTGTGATTATTCATGTTTGTTGTTTCTTACGTGAAGTGACCGGTGTTTTGAACCGAACTCACTGATGACAGGTCCTTGGGCTTGCATGCTGTGAAAAGATTTGTATACATAGTAAGTGGCAGCAAGACATGGGCATTCGAGAATAACTTCTTTTCCGACAGTCCACCAGCTGTGATCCTTTCGGCTCTTTGTTCGTTTGTCGAGCCTTCGAAGTTTCTCTGGTGCCCCTGACTCGATTTGCAGGTGGTGGAACAAATTCTTCACAAGGATTCGGAAGTCCCTAGTTCCTTTCCCTACGCTCCAAGGTTGGAAGCTGCCTGCGGTTTCTACCACATCTCTGGAGGAGTGACAAACCTTCAGCAAGCACGGTGCTATGGTTGGGTAGGTAGGTGTTGACTGGCAGAGGGTCCCTGCCTCAAAGTCCTTCACTGGGTTGAAACATGTTGAAACGATAGGAATGCTCCGGGATCTAGGGTTGTTCAACCCAGGTTGCTGCACCCAAAACCTAGTGAACACAGTTTTTTGCTCTACTGTATATCAATCTATATCGGGGGAAGAGGTGCGGTTGTCCAGTAGATCTCGCTCACTTGCATAGGCTTTGATTGTAGCCGTCATGCCCACCTCACGTTCCACTAAAGATGCTTAACGCCGGCAATGCCTTGGCGTGTGAGGAGATGTCTATAGAGCTGCTCAAAGCCGTGCCTCAGAGGGGTGTGCCAGAGACATTCATCGCTCGCCAGTTGGGACCACTCGGTCGGAGGCAACATCAGGCGAGGAGGGACATAGGATGAAACAAATTGCTGAGACGGACTTGACTTGCTCGTCCTGAAACGTACCACCTTATTCCGATCAGACTGTTCATTTCAGCAATCGATTGCGGATTCTTTGGTCGGCTCCCAAGCCATCCCTAAGCCTAAGAGGGCCAGTACTCGTGCCTTCGAAGGCTGGCTGCCTCCCTCTCTTGTGGGTGAGCAGTGGTCTCAAACAGTATGAACGAGTCAATCACGAATCATGATTTTTACAAGTCTTTGAAGATGTGCTGTTTGGCTCCAAGACTGGCAGGAAGAGCCACCAGTGTTTGAGAAGGCAACAGCTTGCAACTTGCAAGACACGCTCATTGCAAGTGTATGTGTGACAAGCCTTTCGACCAGCTCGCAGGATATTTACAGACCGCCATGGTGCAGACTGGCACGACTGCCAAGTGTCGCTCACCAGTCATTGACTGGGAGAAGCTGAAGAAACATGGGGTGCAGCCATCCTTTTGCCTTCCATCATCTCACAACGCAGTCCGTGCCCACGTCTCATCTGCTAGCATTCGCGAAGTGTGTCGGACACATCCCCGGCGAGAGTTTCGTCGTTTGTGTGACCGAGAAGCAGTTGTAATACCAGTGCTGCTGAACCAGTCCGACGGAACCAATGTGGATAATCAAGCCTATCGCGCTCATGTGGAGGGTTCTCGACGTTGCTTGGGCGCCAGCAACACCTTCGCCCTTCTCCAGGAGGAGACAGACTTTGACCGGTCAAAGCTTCAAGGCAATCCTTTCAACATCTCAACAGAGCTGCATCGCACATGGGTGGGCTTGTTGGAGGAGCCTCGGCAGAATTCCAAACTCGACCTTTAGGGGCCTTATATATATTTAATATATGTGTTCTTTTTGTTGGGGGGGGGCTTGTCCTATCACCTGTAACAGTCAGTAAACAATTACCTTTCTGTTCAACAAGGCCTTTACATGCCTTTACTAACTGTCATCATCCACTGTTACTGGTATTTGGACAGACCATATTCGAGTAATTATATAAATTATATGTAGATATTCTTTATAGAATAGAAGATCTTATTTGTGATGTGGTACTGTACCCTGTGTGTTGGTTTGCTGCATAATATGCCCCTTTCGGGGATGCAAAGTTAGTATCTTCATGGTTGACTTCACTTCACGTGACTAGAATGCGTAATCTATTATGTAATATGCGTACAGCGTAGTAGTTTATGTTATCTACAATGTAGGTAGATACAGTAGATAGATAGATAGGTAAAACGATGGAGAACCGAGGTGGCGACTCAAAAGCAGAAATAAAGAAAACTAATGATGGTTCATTGGAACAAGCTAAGGTCTTGCAATCTACAGTGACACCCCCACCCAGTCGGTCACAGAGATCCACCTCAACTCCTGGCTCAGGGCAGCGCCTTCCGCGCTTGGCTTTGGCACAGTAGCACGCGTTCTTTTCTTTAGTGTGTGTTTTTGCTAAATGTGATTCTCAAGGAGCGGAGTGTTTGCCAAACAACCCCACGTCCTGTGTCGTGCTATGGCATGGATGCGAGCATGTTGATTGTGCTTGGGCTTTGACCACACGTTAAGTTGGCCATGATTGGCTACACGTGTTTGCACGAAGGGCACAAGGTCACACTCTATTCGTTCTTACATAATTACCTACCTGACACTGTGAAGTTGCAGCAGTGCGTTCTTTCTGTCTTTGCACCAACCTGCAGTTGTTTCAACGCCTCTCCTGTGGTTTGTGCGGGTGGCCTATGGCCTCGCCCCAAATCCTGCACAGCGATAACAGAGCAGAAACCAGAAACATGGCCCCAAGCCCCAAGTGTATAATATCAAGGAAAAGATTCAGATGTGCTCACCATACCCCCCCCAACTCCCCATCTATTTTCTATTTTCTATTTTCTAACTTGTTGCATCCCTGTGCGAATTTCCTCTAAAAAATCAGACAACCCGGGTTGTCATAAAAAACAAAAACGGATGAAAATATACAGTGCCAGTCTACAACTGGAACCTGGGGGTTCCCATTCTCTATAACGCCAAGAGGGGGTTGATTTATTAGAGACTTTGGTTGTCGAGCGTTAGCTCGAGAATGGGGTGGATTTTTTATAGAGAAAAGAGTCTTTGCAAAGCCAGATTTGCAAATCCTAGCATGGGCTCAACACACAGATGCAGAGACCATACCAGGATCATCCATAAGCAAGCATCAAGAAGAACATGCATGAGTCGACTTTGTTCCACTCGAACTCGGACTGTCAATTCTTTAGGCCTTTTGAGCTTTTCCTTCAAGTCTCCAATTCTTTAGCAGATGCAATCTGGCTTTTGATTCTTTAGAGAATGTTCTTGATTTTTTAGTGCCACTTCTGGATACTGAACCTGGGGGTTCCTAAAGAATTGACAGTCCGGGTGTGAGTGCGAATTGGAAGGGTGATCTTGTTGCACCCAATTCCTGATTTTAAGCATAGGGCAGCCACGTCAAAAGAAGCCACCCCAAACCTCAACATCCTTAACCATCCACTCCAATCATCTCCAATCTCCACCAAACCTTTCACAACCCCCGAAACTCACCACCAGGTCTGCCGCCTCTACCCGCCCGTCCTCTGTGCCGCTGTGCTCCACCACGGCTGTGGCGCAGCTCTTCGCCGCCTGCGCGGTGGCGCCACCCCAGGAGATCGCAGAGCCCGGCGCATCCTGGAGAACACCGCTGCCACAACCCTCCGCCACAGCCTTTGGGATGATCAGGAGGATTCTTTTTTGGGGGGGGAAGATGGGGAAGGTGGGATGATGCTGTCCCACGAGATTGGCAAATGGTAGTGATCCAGCAGTTTGTTTTCCCCGAGCAGCCCTGCCCCTCCAAAGCCAGCAAGTCCCCGGAGCCTGGTGTCGTCAAGGCCAAGTAAAGTTTCGAGGCGCACACCACGTTGCATAAACAGATCCGTTTTCAATGATTCAAAGAAATTTGAGCTTGTGTTCGAGTGGCCATGCGTGGGCATATCTTTGAGCCTGGACTGGCTTAGACTTGGGGAAAGAGGTTTATTTCGAGGTTCTGTTGACTTGCAGCCACGACCTTTCAGCCGCCTAGGCTGTGCACTTGAGAGGTGCAGATGTGGAAAGCATTGGCACCACAGAGTGCTTGGAAGAGGCCCTTCGATGCTCGAACTGAAGCACAGGAGGCTACCCCAAACATGCCGAAACGCAAAGTTGTTAACCTTTACCTTTACCACATTGCGCACAACTTGGTACAGCTGCATGCTCTCAAGCTGTTACGTAGGCCCCAAAGACGTCCCGATCCTTGCAGACTTTGAAAGCAGCACATCGCACCTGCGTCTTCTGCAGCAGATTTTTTGGGGGAGAGGGCCATAAATAATTGCGTTTGCAATTGCTGTGCTGTTGCCGCAGCCCAGGAGTCAAAAGCATGAAGAAACCTGCTCCTGCTCGTTCAAATGTTGCTCCTGCTCGCTTCGTTCGCAGATGGCGCCTTGGGGTTGAAGATGCCAAACGGCATGGAACAGCATAGGTGCGATGGCGAAGAAAGCGACAGAAAGCTGCAGCTGCCAGACTTGAGTGCAGGGTTCTGAAATGGTGCACCCTTGCAGGTAAACAAATATGGCCGCATTGATCATGGCAATCATGCCCCCAACAGTGAAGCTTTGTGTGGCCCACGACCTGGCAAATCCACGAGGAGAACCTCAAAGGGGGTAGCTGGCTGGCTGGTGAGAGAAATGAAGACTTTGGAATTCAGATGATTTAAGTCGTGGGAGCGCAGGACCTGTTATTTTTTCTCGGCCGCGAATCATGCTTAGCCCAGCTGACTTGAGCACCCAACCTCCCGCCCAAAAGGTTAAATGTACAGTTCAGTGTGATGACATTTTGCCAAATACAGAAAAATTCCCTTTGCCCTAACTGATGCACTGGATTGTCTTGAAGCTTTCAATCCTCGCGGATTTGCCAGAGAATTTTGTCACAGCTCCAGGTACAAGAGTGAACATCGCAAACAGATTGTGGCCAAGGTGTCGCTGCACTCAGATCGTTGGTGAGCCAACCCAACTTTCAGGCAGAAGTGAAAGATATTGAAAGATGTTTCATCGTCATGTTCAGGTCCAATACTGCGAACGGGTTGTATTGGTTTCAATGAAAGATATTGAACAATATTACCAGCCCATATTATTACAACATCATTGCCAATATCGTCAATATCATCCACGTTTCACAAGTGGGGATCTTGGCTCCACGGACTCTCCCAGGATGGCCGCCATTGTGCGAGCCACCCGGCTGCTGGGCGATGCGCCGGTGCGGAACTCAGCGGAACCAGCGGATGGCGATGACAGTGACAGTGATGGGATTGAAGATTTGTACCGTTGTTACGGTACTATGTTTAGTATGTACCATGTTTACCTGGTCATGTTAATTTACATGCATACATGCATGCAGCTGCATGCATGCATACCATTACATTACATTACATTACCATACATTACCATATATTACCATACATACATACATAATCATACATAATTATACATAATCATACATAATTATACATAATCATACATATATACATACATACATACGTACATACATACATACATACATAAGCATACATAGGCATAAATAAGCATACATACATACATAAGCATACATAAGCATACATAATCATACATAATCATACATAATCATACATGATCATACATGATCATACATACTCATACATACCATACCATACCATACCATACCATACCATACCATACCATACCATACATACATACATCCATACATACCATACATACCATACATACCATACATACCACACATACCGCATACCATACATAAATAAATAAATACATACATACATACATACATATATACATGGCTCAAGGCCGCAAGTGCTCAAACCGGCACCCCACAAAGACCGGTTGGTGCGGAACTCCCCAAGCGAACATATTTCCGCTGTACCTGACCGAGCACGGCCCATCCTCAAGGTCAACTAGAACACACTCTTTGCCCGTGATAATCGACCTCATCGACATCACTCAAACCGAGCTCTCCGGTGGCTAGCAGTGTCTCGCCTGGCTATTTCACTGTGAACAACTAGGCCTGAGCACTACCACCAAGTGGACCACTCAGGCCTGATACCTGCAGTTCCCTGTGGCTGACCACATCCAGCACTATGACACCACAATGGGGGCGAGCGTACATGGTATGCAACAAAAGTTCAGCTCCGCAGTGGGACGAAATGCCGTAAATGGCACCTGGTGGCCAGAGCTCTCCTACCAGAATGAAAGGGAGGCTATGGAAGACTCTCAACAAGAACAACGCCAACCAGCAATGGCTCGAAGCCCCTCCTGGACTACCGAGAATCAAGCCTCTGAAACGCACCAAGGTTCAACAAGAGGCAACGGAGCTTTTGTCAACAAGCTGGACCACCTTACCGGAAGAGACACAATCCAAACTCCAGGCACTCGGCATAGGCCCGGTCAAGCCTGAGGAACCTGAGTTGAAGGACTTGCTCAAAACCCATCTTGATGCTCTTCCTCAACAAGTCCAAGAAGTTGTGTCCAAGCTGACCAAGGCTGAACCAGCTACGGAACGCGAAATAGCAGCAAGACTCAAGGGTCAAGTGACTGACCTAAAGAACATGTCGATGCGAAAGACACAATTGCAGGCCAAGATTGATGCAGTGAAGTCTCAATACACCACGCTGCTCAATGACATGCAGGAACTGCAAGGGAAACTGGCTGAGGGACAAAAATCACTCCAAAAGCTCTCCGAAGACTACATGAAAGCGGTGAACCAAACACCCACTCCAGCTGCACTTTCAGATCCAGCTGGTGAAACGGAGCAAATCCCCATGGCTGTCGAATCTTTCGTGCACAGCTTAGGCATTTCCTTGACTGAGGAACAAAAAACACAGTTACGTGGGCTTCTCAAGCGGCCCAACCAAGACAGCGAGGACGCCATCAAGAGACGCAAAACCGACACAACCCCGGTGCCACATCCCGGACATTGCGGGTAACAGTTCTTTTGATGAGCATCCATGGGGGTGGACCATACCTGTCCCGGATGATGACCTCATGTCATGGCCAGATGGCACAGCAAAACCCACTCCCAGGAGGCTCCATTTTGACACGATCTACGATCAACAAGCCTATGGCAACATGCAGGCCCACCAAGCTCTTGGCACTATGTTGCAGCCTGCACAGGCCATGAACACCAGCCCACAAGCAGGCATACCACTGACGATTGACACTTCTCCAGTCACAGCTGTGGCCAACCTCGAAGATGCAGAAGCAGACGAGCAGCCCCTCGAGTGGACTACTTCTGAGCCAAGGGCCGCCGGTGAGGCACAAGGCCTAGCAACCCGCCAAAATGGCGCTCTGAGCGCATCAACTTTAGGAGAAAAATACATACATACATGCATGCACGCATACATACATACATGGCTCAGGCTGTGAGCGGTTCAAGGTGGCATCCCCGCATAAAGACCACCTGGTGCGGATCGCCCCTTGTGTGCATTGAGTACCACAAGAGCTCGCCACCACAGCATTCTCCCAGGGTGAGGGTTTTCTTTGCTCGTGATCTTACGTCTTCACCAACCTCACTCCTGTCGTGACCTTCGGCACCTGGCAGTGCTTGCTTGGCTACCTCCTGGGGGATTTGGAGGTCACTGGTGCCACCAACTCAGGCCTGATCTCAGAGCACGACACGCTCCTTGCCCCTTTCTAGGCCTTTGAGCAAGCCCTTGAGGTCACCAGCATCCAGTACGATGACATCCACCAAGACACCTTCTTGGTGCAGAAGCTATGTAACATGCACCCAAGCCCAGTGCACAAACTGGATTTGGCAGGACCGGCTCAGGCCTAACACCCGCTGCCGCAAATGCGGCCACTTGTGGCCTTCCCTCAGAGCTGGCAGTGGCAAAGGGCAAGGCCGCCCGACCAAGACACCGGGTGCATGGCCTTCCACCTGGATCGAAACACCACCCGGACTGGGAAGGTTGAAACCCCTCAAGAAGTCCAAGATCCAGAAAGAGGCTTCAGATTTGCTGGAAGCAGTGTGGAATGGCATGCCCTCAGACCTCCAAGACAAGCTCCAGCACTTGGGCATTGGCCCCACCAAACAGCCTGAGCCAGACCAGAGATGCTCAAAACGCACATGGCAGCACTCCCAACTCAGGTCCAGGAGGCCGTCGCCCGCCTCACGACACCAGAGCCAGCATCTGAGAAGGACATAGCCACCAAGTTGAAAGGTCAGGTTTCTGATCTCAAGAACCTGTCCATCAAGAAAACCCAGTTGCAGGAGAAGCTTGGCCACACGAAAGCCCACTACCAGACCTTGCTCACTGAAATGCAGGAGCTTCAACAAAAGCTCAACGAAGGCCAGAAGACTTTGAAGCAGATCTCAGAAGACTACACGCAGGCCGTGAACAAGGATCCCAAGCCAGAAGAGCTTGAAACCACCATGGAAGTAGATCCACTTCCAGCCGCACTGGAGACTTTCGCAGCCAACTTGGGTCTCCCTTTCGGCTGAACAGAAGTCTCAGCTACACGGCCTCCTTAAGCGGCCGAACAGTGGCACTGAAGACCTGACAAAACGCAGGAAAATAGATGGCCTCAGCGCCGGGGCACCTCTTGGATCTTGTGGGTAACACCTCTCAACCCACATGTACAAGCACCGGCCTCAACATACCAGTTCCACTGGACGATTTTGACTGGGGACATGACAGTGATCATGAACATCTTTCAGCAAGAGCTTTGGATGTGTTTATCCATGCCATGCTGGCTCACAGCTGAAGGCAGGATCTGACACCCACTGTGTTGCAGGGGACATGCAACTCACGGGCAATCCTCAATCTTTGTTTTCCCAAGGGCAACATGTTGCAGAGGAAGAGCAACAACCAGCACCTCACCTTGTGAGTCAAACCGACTTCAATGACAATTTTGAACTTTGCCACCAGCGCCCGGCGCCGGGAGATCATGGCAGTCGGCCACGCTTGGCTGTGATAGGAGGCACTTCAGAACCCTCCAGTTCTGGCTGGACGTCAACGACGGCCACAACAATGAACCAGCAGGTCCTATATGACTTTGCCACGTCTACGGACTTGCTGATGCGGAACCTGACTATGATAGTGGGCAACCCAAGCCAGAGGTGTTTTGCCAATGCACCTTGGAGAGCCTTCACCTGGCTTTGTGCTTTTCTCCAAGAACACAATCTCCAACCTTGGGGAACACGTCGGGGAGCAGTCCAAGAAAGTCTCGAAACATGTGAAGCTGTTGACCTACAACGACTTCCTGGACTCCAAACCCTGTGGCAGCAGCACGACCTCAATGTGCAAGGGGACGCAAGTCACTTTGTGAACACCCTATGGCTGGCCACACAGTCTCGGGCCTTCGCCTACAGATATGCTGAGATACAGCCAGGCGGTTTGCTCAAAGACCACATCCAAATGCTCATCCACATCGACTTTCCAGCCCATTGTCTTGATGAAGTCCATTTTCAGGACCTCATCAATGAGTGGCGCAATGAAGGTTTGGGGCAGTACTTCATGGATGAGAAAAGAGCCCTCGTCTGTCACCTCCAGAAGTCGATGGCACCGTCACTATTACACCATTTTGATGTACCAAGACCTCCTATGGTTAGCAGACGGTGGACAGACGCCCAAGGTGATTCCCAATCTGACGCGACAGATTGCTGGTGACATAATACAACTATGGGCCATCCAAGCCTCTCATTTCAGGACTCCTCAAGACATAAAGCCCGGACTATGCCGGCTCCTGAAAGTCCAGATTACGATCCACCTCTCCATCCATCGCCGGCCAAGAGGCCAAAGCCCAATGAGGAGGCAATGCGGCTCCACTTTGCCAACATCACGAGCCTTGGCAAACAAGTCATTGAATGGTATTGGGCCAGGTACTGCGAGCTATACATCTTTGTGGAAACTTACCTTGATCACAAACAACATGCCAGCATGTGCCAATACTTCACCACCAGAGGCCGTCAGGCCATGGGCATGGCTGCAGCCAAGAATGCCACCAACGACGGCCCCCATGGAGGCATTCTCCTACTTAGACCTTGCTGAAGGGCTCACCATGGTCGATAGCTATGGGATCAACGGCTGCGGCTATGTTGCATGCTTATGGCAAAAAGAGAACTTCCGTTGCTACTAGTGGCCGTCTACCTCAAGCACTCCGACACCCTGCAAGGACCAGTCAACAGCCAGATCATGGCAAAGCTCCTGGCCCTTCTTCAAGAGACCCGGTATCAATTCCTTCTCCTAGGACACTGGAACACACCACCCAGCTCCTTTGAAGAGAGAGCATGGTTGCATGTCAGTACAAACCGACTGGGCTGTTCCTTGGCGCCCACATGCTCTGGTCACTTTGACCTTCGATACACTTCACAAGCCACGGCAATCCAGCTCTATGACATCGAGCCCAACAAAGAAGCACAGACACTGGCAGACTGGGTATCCATCACCGAGCAATATCTGCTCCAAGAGCATCCTTGGCAACCACAAGGCCGGGGCTGTTGGGTTCAGGCTCCACACAAGCCTTTAGCCAAACCACCTGCCGGTCCTTTGTGGCGCAGAGGCAAACCTGCCTACTGGGAGCAACTCAAGGCCAGACTCCAATTGGCCCTGCAAACCCCAGCCAGTCACAACAAGCCCATCAAAGGGTTCCTACAAGCTGGACTAGATGCACCCAAGCAATGGGTTGGACCACCCACAGCCCACACCTTCCTCGGCATCCTGCATCACTGGAAGCAGTACCGCGACGACAAATCTGCTGAACTGTTGATGCACACCGTACAACATCAAATCACAGAGGCCCATCTGCAGGCCAGGGATGAAGCTGCCTTGCAATATCAGCAGTGTCTCGTACAAGGAGAGGCCAAAGGCCTCAGAGGACTTTTAATTTCGGTGCCTCAAAGCATCCGAACTCGCCTGGCAGCAGCCATACAGACAACTTGAAGTCCAACAAAGAATGCCTCAGAGAATGCAAGACTGGGCCAAGCTCTGGCGCATCAGGGATACCAGAGATCCAGTACCACTACCCAATGCCGACCACTTGCTGCCAGCAGCATGCCAACATGCAGCTACCCTGCCGGAGATTTCTCTTGGCCATCTAGCCAATGTGCTCAAACATCTGCCTGACCGAGCAGCTGGACCTGATGGCATTCCAACCCAGCTCCTTACAACCACTTCGGCAGATCCTCAAGTATTACGAGCTCCATGGCATTTTGCCAGCCCAGATGATACAGAGCTTGATTGTGATGCTTCCCAAGAACGAGCAGTGTGAGCGCCCCATCACTCTGACCTCCACGGTCTACCGGCTCTGGTGCAAGCTGCGCAAAGATCTGATGGACCAATGGCAAATCCATCTACCTTTCAGCATGGACTACGACAGGGCCAGACCAGGACAACCCTCACAGCCAGGAGCAGAACAGGCATGACGAGGTGGTAACACCCACACCGGGCGACCTCCAGCCACGAGCACTCTTCTCAGAAGTTGCCACAAGCAGCGCAGACCAGGCTGAGCAGCACCACACGCCCGCACAGCCAGAGGAGGCCATGAACCCCAGCCCAAGTCTGGCTACATCGGATGGCAACTCACCAGCAGCGAGCGCTGACGAACTCTACAATTTCGAGTGCTTCTAGCGCTGCCTTCAGCTGCTTCGGCCTCCACAAGGTCAATACGACCTTCTCGTGCACATGCAGCAAAAGTCCACCCTAAAAAAACTTAAACCATACATACATACATACACACATACATGCATACATACATACATACACACATACACACATACATACATACACACACACATACATACATACATACACACACAGACATACATACATACATACGTACATATGCGTGACTGTCTCTTATATGCAGGCTTGCAAATGCGTGCAACTTTTTGTAGTGAGTAATGAGGGAACATGGTGGATCCTGGTGGTACATATCGGCGCTTGTGTGTTTGATTGACTATGAAGACTTGTTTGACCTTAGGTGGAACAATGCTCGAGTGCTGTTGTGTTTTGCCATGAGTCAGCTACAAACGTTATCCATCATCATTGTTTCAATGCGAAGCCACTCCGTCCTCCTTTGGGGGGCCGGACGTAGGCGGCCAGAGGTGTCCTTCGACGGCTTCCTTCCCGAGGAGTGGGGTTCCATGGTCCTGTGCATGGCCAAAGTGTTTGTTAGTCTAATCCCTGGAGACTGGCAGCGACTGATGCCACAGCATGTTTGGAGTTTGGACTGTTTGGACTCGGTCGACGGCGCCCCAGAAGTGGAATCAGCTCAAGGAAGCTGTGGAGCAATCTTGGGAGTTGATGTGTGTGTGTGGACTCTTTGTGCATCAGGATTTGCCGGACTTTCAGGCGAAGGCGAGCAACATTTAGTTCCAGTGATGCTTCCCTCAAACTAGCGTGATCCTCCAAATCCCAACCTGCATGTGGATCGCGGCAAGGCACTGCCGGAGTACATGATGGGAGTGCAAGTGGAAAAATACGTACAGGTTCATACATGCCAGATAATTTTTTCTGAGCCTTCAGAGTAGTGAACAGTCAGGACTTGAAAAGGTTGACGTTCGACTTCAGTCGCACCAGTCACTTTCCCTTGCCGACCCTGCCTTGACCGGGTTGGAGGTAGGAAGGTTACGCATTTTATTGCCCTCAGGTTCAACAGGGAGGTTTATTGTGGAATATTGTGGAGGACTGTGGCTGGTCCTGAGATTCGTGAACCCGACGGGTATAATGCACATTGCCATTGTTGCTTCTTGGAAGGGTGGTCATCAAATTTTGTCACCCTCCGTTTGGCAAATTGTGGCTGACAATTCGATACAATCTACCATACTTGTTAGAGATGAGGGTGGACATGGAACACAACATTTAAAACCGCAAATAATGCACTGGGCACCACCCAAAGTTCGATCCAACCCCCGCAAGCGTAAGATCCACTCAGACTCGGTGAAAACTCTTCCCGCAAACCTGATGGATCCTTTGGCAAATTGACTGAGGTGGGAGTCCCTGGCCTGATCATCAAGCTCAGTTGCTCTGAAGAGGCTGCAAAAGAAAGTGTTCAGATGGGACACTACTGTGATGCGATCGTGGAACATCTTTGTGCTGAGTCGGAGTTTGATAGATGAAGATCAAAACCAACATTCACATACTGTAACTAAATTCAGTTCTTCTCCACTGTAGCACGTGCAAACGGATTACAACGCAAAAAGAAAACTGTTTGGCTTGTTTTCCCCGCTGTGACAGTTGATGATAGTTGATGGTTGAGGTGCGATTGAGCCGAATTCAGCAGAGGGGCCAACGAGGCCATGAAGTTTCTTGGGCTTCAGTGGCACTGCGTAGTTGCATCAAATCGCTTGGTCTTGTGTGAAGTCGTTTGGATGTGGCACCCCCATGCGGGTTTGACGTTGTGGGGTGTGTTGTGGGGCTGTGTTCCTGGCACGCTGCAATATTTGCAAAAATGATCAAACATGTATGTGTTCTACGTTGATGTGGGCGAGTTCTTTGCAACATATTTCCGTAAAGTGCTTCCACAGTGTTTAGACCTAGAACGGATGACTTTCCGCAATCCGGGGGACTTGTCTCCTGGCCGGGTGATTTCACACAAGCGCAGGAGGACTCAACTCCTGCACTTGCAAGTGGAACACTTTGGGTCCATCAGCAAGAGGTGGGTGACACGGTGGTTTCTTTCTTGGCCTGTTGTATCATGCTGTTTCCTCACATTTGGTGATTGAATTGAACTGGCTGCTGCTCAGTGGTCGGCTGTGCTACGCCGCTATGCTATGCTAGGGCGTTCGTTGCTTTTGGTGCGCCTTGTTCTTTTTTTGCTCACCTTTGTAGCACAACAACCGCCAACACAAGACCAAAATCAAACCATGATTGCCGATAGGACCAATCTTCAGACCAGTGACTCAATTGATCATTGACCATTCTTTCATACTGACTTTTTGGCATCCCCTTTTTTTGGTTGTCATGTGTTGTCCTTGTATACTACCTTCGGATGGCATGGGATTTGGAAAACATACATGGGAACACACATTCCCAAGTCATTTGCCTCGCCCCCCTCGTGATAAATCCCATGTCATCAGGCAAAACTAACCAAAAACATCAAAAAACAATATATATATATATATAATGCAAAGCATCTCCAGATTGCCGATGCAACCCAAGACAACGCTGCTTTGTAAACGCGAACTCCCATGTCATATGTGAAGGAATACAAGAAAGCAACATTTGTCCAACATTTGTCATTGGGTCTGTCATGTTTTTGTCGTTGTGTTTTGTCATTTGTCATTTTTTCATCTATATGTTCTTTACTTTTCCAATCCTTTATCCGTTGATCCTCTACATGTTTTAGTGTTTTCCTTATGTCTCCCCCTGTTTGTCTTTATTCCCTTGACGGTCCCACACGGTGATGGGCGGATGTTGCCTTCACCATGGTGAAACCGGTTCACAAACATCCGGCTATTTGAGGCACTCCGGTTCAAGGAAAGCCCCGTGCCCCAAAGAGCCGGCAGAACAAAAAAACTGACAACAAATCGGCACCGGCACCAAATCGGAATTGTTGGCTGTCGGGAGGTGTGGATCATGAGTGTCACAACTATCTCATCCTGCTTTGCCTATAGTCACCTAACGATCAGGTGCCAAAACACCATTTTCACATGACATAGGATTTACCTACTCTATTCCTTATGTCACTTGACGCCACAAACTCCCATGTGATCTGCACCCAGTATAGATTCATGTCGATTTTTTGGGAGTTCTGATTATATCGTTCTGTGTCGATATTCTATTGATGTTTTGACATTCCAGTTTGTATAATATACTGTTAGCTATTGTTGGCTCCTTTTCTTTGTGCTATTGTAGAGATCTCCATTCAGCCAGGTTTGGCAAGAAAATAAAATCATTGTTTTCTGATTGTTTTCTGAATCTTTCTTTCTTTGCTGGAATTTCTGATGTTTTTCTAATGTCGAATTTTGATCTGATTTTTTTATGTGTTTTTTCTGAATCTCTTTCTTCCTTTTTGTTTTTCCTTTTTCCTCCTCTTGCTACCAGCTACCAGCTGGCTGGACCTTTTTTTGAGGGGAAACGTGTACTTTTCCTTCTTTAGGAAAAGCATCAGTCCATAAAAGGAAAGCATTTGTTGATTGAAGATGTTTTTTTTCATTGTCATTGAGTTTCAGAAAGCAGCTGGCCATTTAGCAGCTATTGTTCTGTTTTGTCATTGTTCTCTCAGTTGGCGTCCATTGAATGGCCCTATTTCACTCCTTTCTGACTGGTTAGGATTGTATTGTGAATCAAGTGTTGGATATGTAGCGAGAAATTTGAGCATCCCGCACTGTGTGCCGTCACAGTAGGTTTTGAACCAGTTGGCTGGAGATCTCTTCAAGCCCAGGTCCGCAGTGCAGAGGAACGCACCAGGTCAGGCTCTCAGCGTTGAAATGAATGTAAAGGAGCATTGCTGCAAACAGGAAGGCTTAGGGAATTTTCAATTTACACGGCCTGCTGTCAGTGTCATGATTTGAGTGCATTGATTACATCGAGTGCAACTGTTGCACCTCAATTGAAGAAGGGAAGATGCCGGATCCAACAATGCCGGATGTCAGGGGGGAGAACACCATGTCTACTGTCCCACCACGATGATATGGAAAGGGTTCAACTTGTACACCCGGTAGTACACCCCACCCATAAAGATCCCGATTCAAAAAGGCCACCAAAGCCTCAGTACCGGCTGCGACTATAGGAGCCATGGGTCCCTCGTGTCGGGTGGTTCGCAGCGCCTGAAAGACTTTGAAAGCAGCGGTCTTTGCCATGAGCATCTCAGCGGAGGAATGTCGACGGAAGGGGAGCATCGGTCATCGGAATGTTGCTCGTGCAAGAAGAAGAAGACGGGAAGAAGGTCCGGTGGTACAAGAAGACCAGAAACTGTTTATTGGCATGTTTTTGTCCAGTTCTGTCGACAGCAACTCAGATGGTGGGATTGTCAAATCTGTTCAAGATTGTTGCGGGCCTCGGCATAGGGTTGCGTCGCAAAACTTAATTGCACTCCCAAGTGCTAAAGTCGTTGCGATTTCATGTTTTTGCTTCCCTCCAGAATTGTGAGTAGGGCTTTTGAATGTTTTTGAGGAGTCGTTGCGAAACCGGGGTGTCCCAAGCAGTTTAGGAGTGGAGGCAGTGGAGGCGTGCGTTGCTTGACAATTATAATTCTTGCGTTGGGCTTATGGCATATTCCCCAAACAGTACGATCACATTACTGTAGTGGTTCTTACGGTTATTGTCAGGGCTGGGGTTGATCGAGGGTGCAGTGTATCCGTGTGCGGCCAATTTGCTGCTATTTACAGCACATTCATGCCCCTCGAGACCTTCAAAGTGCATGTTGACTGCGCAGGCTCGCGTAAGCGCCCAGGCTGTTTCCTTTCATTGTTGTTCCCTTTGCCAACTCCTGGCATGCAAGAAAGGGTTGAGGTGTATCACACTCCACTCCTAGAAGGAAACGTGTGCTTGGACTTATAAACTGCACACGCTTGAAGCGATCCCACGTGTTTCGAACTGAGAGGGGTCCAAAACTCTTCCGCGGCTTTGGTTGAGGCTGTCAACTGACCAACCATTCAAAAAGGCAGCTTGGCCAGAAAGTGGTGGTGGTGTATTTTATGTTTCTTGGGAGTTCCCCAACCGTGAATGATAGTCAACCCAAGGCAATTTGCAACGCTGTAACGCCCGCTTATCAAGAACTTTTGCCAGTGCTTTGACCTCCTGTAGGAAAATCAAGTGTCTTTTTTGGATATGTAACATGCGTGTCTCGATGCCTGCCCGGACTTACTAGTTCTTGACTAGACCTGTCAAAAAGATTCAAAAAGTGCTGAGCCTTAGGTTGTGGAGGAGCTAAAAGAACATGTTCAGCAGGCACTGGACCGGGTTGGCAAGCGTGGGAGACGATTTCTGATAAATTTGTGTCCGTGCATGGTTCAGAGATTGGCTAAGATTGATCATTGATATCATTCATTGTACTTGGCCGTGGGGCTATGGAGGGGATGCATTTCGTTACTTCAAAATCCACACCTGCCAGTACACCTGCCTATTCTCGTACCTACTGCCTCTGAAAGTGCAAAACGTTTCATAACCGTGTTCACGTACTGTAACCACTTGGCCAAAAATCGATAGCCCTCGGTGTCCATACAAGAAATTTAGTTTACACTCGCATGTGATGGTCTATCACCATAGGGGCCAGGCCGGGCCACTCTTCAATCCAAGTCACTCCCAGTTTTGGAGGTAGGGTTTGGGACAATGGCATGATCGGCAGCATTGGCTCGAAGAAAGATTGGAACCATTCGGATAACGTCCGTCGCTGCTCGAAGAAAGATGCCTGGAAAGATGTCGCGCATGAAGATCGAGGCTGCCGGGTAAGCCTTTTTCACAACAGCTGGGTGACCTCCAAAAAATCATTTAAAAAAATCCATGCAGATAGCCCTAAAGCATCCCTAAAGCCCAGTGGTTGTTGGACTCCAGCTATTCCAATACACATCCGGTCAAGGCTAAAGCGGCTAAAGGTTGTCCAATCGAATTCTAACGTAACGTTCGTACTGTTTGCGGAGCGCCAACTGGAAAGTTTGGGCAACACCGCCTGTCCAACCACTCCAACTACCACAGCTTGCAAAATTTGTGTACGGATACTGAACTGACACAGCAGAGTAGGTGGTAGGTTGGTTGGACATTTCTGTACGTTGCCAAGTCATGTCGAGTTCATGAAATCTGAATGAACCCACCAGGCCGCGATGAAAGGCAAGCGAATGCCCTTCGATGACCAGGTTTTGGCCACTGAGCAACCAAATGGGTTCGATTGGTGAGGTCAGGGACGCCTCAGGTGATGGGAACGTCCAGAGAAACCTGGGAGAATTTGTTTTGGCGTTCATGTTTGGCACCGACTCAATTTTTTCCTGCCCCATGAACATCCCCCGTACCTGGCAGAGGACAACCAGTGCGGAAACCGGACAACCAGACCGTGGGTTTTAGAGCATTCCGATGCCAATTCGTAAATCAGATTCCTGTTCTTTCATGTATGGTTGGCATGTTCTGACTGTATACTTTCCACTTCTCCTGTTCTTGTTTTACTAATTTTGCGTGTCTTGTGCGGCTTAGCTGACTCACGTATGATTTTGCTCTTGCATTATATATAAGATTAGCATTATTCCGTCGAGCGCCCAAACCCCAAAACCCCAAGGGGCTGGGATGGGGCAAACGGACTGACGCTAGGCTGCTACATCAATCTAACTTTATATGTGAGGGAGGATCGTACATGTACTGTACTGTAATTAGATCGATTTGTTTTACTGTGCATCTCAGTTCTGTTTCATTTGAGGACGTCATGGGTTGCCAAGCCGCCGCCTGGGTGAAGCTGAGGACTACCTGCTGAACGTGGCGAGTTCCTCCGCGTCCAAAGAGCTTGTGGAGCTGATGGAGGTTTGGATGTGGTACTGGCAGACTATGGTAGACCTACAGGCATAAGAAGGTCTCTATAAGGTGTTTGGAGGACCAATTTGATGCAGGATGCGGCCGAAGTGACTTCCCCCAATTCTGTTGCTGCAAATTGAGGCCAAGGGTCAATCCTCACAAGGAGATAGGCTCCCTATTGGCACTGGCACGGTAGCCACTCTGTCCTTTTTTTTGGGTTGCTGGTTGACTCCGATGGCTTTGCCTCCTGTTTGTGTTTTCGTCCTGGTTATCCTGTTCCGAGGCGTCAGTTCTTTTTCATGAGTGTAACGTGTGTATGTATGTATATATATATATATGTGTGTGTGTAATGACAGAACCGGATGCCTTCAGTCCTTGTTCTGATTTGCATTCGTTTGGGAGGACAGAAGTCCACTCACTCGGCTCCCTACCATTGATGCAAGTTCTGCACCCCGATCACCATCACAAACGTCATGGTTTTGCTTTTTGCCAGTGACTGTTGATGGTGTCCTTTTTGCTTGCTCTTCCTCCGCACCGCCGGGGCTACTTCAATCGAACGGCGGTTTTAACGGTTCGGCCTGTTCGGCCCTTCTGCCACCAGGATTTCTGCCCGAACTGGCAGAAGCATGAGCGCATCGCTTTGGCGGCCCTCCTGGCGAGGGAAGCTGGCAGAGGTCACCTACCTCAGGAAGAGACCGAATGAAAAAGGGGCGGGAAGCAGCCGATAGAGCAGAAACCAAAGGAAGGAATGAGGAAGGCAAGAAAAAAACTCGATCAAGTCAAACAAATCTGTTCCACGACCCATCCGTATCATTTATTATCCTCAATTTTGCAGGAGGCAACCGTTGTCAAGAGAGAAAAACACATAGAAGAGCTCAAACTCTTGAAACAAGGACGCTACTAGGGGCTCCTGGCCTTACTACTAGGAACAAGAAGCTACTAGCAACAAGGGGCACACGTGTCACCTTGCTTTCGAGTTCACTACCTGTGACGATGATGCACGCATTGAGGGGAAACATATTTTAGGTCTCGAGCCTGTCAGTAGGGGTTCAGTGCCTAGGTGGCCTCACTCCCTCAGGGATTTCTCAGGCTGTTGCCAATGTACTGAGAACTAGGCACTGATACCCTTGGTGCAAGGACGCTACTAGGAGCAAGGGCATCGCTACTAGAAACAAAGCGCATTACTACCAGTAGCATTCTTACTACTAGGAACAAACTCTTGAAACATGCAGCTTCGCGGCTTCGCCCGGTCTTCTTGCAGGTGACGGCCCCGACCACTCTTCCAGATCAGCACCGTCGGTTCCAGCGCCCGATGCAAGCGATGCAGACATGTTGGCACAAGCAACTTGGTGGGGAAACTGTGGGGTGTGCGAACTGTGGGGGTTCAGCAATTGTTTCTTCATTCCAGCCCCTATTTTGAGCCCCCGCTCATGTCAGACTGTGACAAGCCGCCTTAACTTAAGCGCCTGTTCGAAAGATTGCCTTGTGGATTATTTGATTTGTCAATCAGCAGGCTAGCAGCTCCATGGTGGGTTTGCAAGACGATTTTCCTCTAACAGCTCCAGATGGATTCTGAAAGATCAGACTAAGCGTTGAGGACATTGAAAGAAGATACTGTATCACATTGGTTAAGCTCTTGGGGCCGTGAGATTGGAAGATTTCTTGAGAACGCATAGGTTTGCCATGCGATGCACATGCACCCTTGGTTCATCGCCCCTTTGGCAAGTGCCAGTCCCAGCTCGGAAAGGGGAAATCGCTGAGGACATGGCCCTGGCACAAATGCTGCAGGAAGAGGAAGATGCAAAGTACACAAATAATCCTGGGCAAAGCGGGCAAATGAGCTCCAAGAAAGGCGGGAGGGGGACGTTTCTATTTCATTTTGTGCTTTGGAGGAAGGAAGGCACAATCAGATTGCTGAACATGTTGGACGGCTGCTTGTGCGATGTATTTCAGAAATTTGCATGGTTTTTGACATTTGATATTGCATGTTGCGACGGCCCGTTGGTTACCCACAACACAATCCAAGAGGAAATGCCACTTCGATTGATTTACTATATCCATAATTTCATATATATATATATTGTATAATTCCATATGTATGTAACTATATAATATATATATGTGTACACTATACAACTTCTGTAAGCAATTGCACCTGCAGTATCTGCAGAGGGCATTCTTGGGCTTCGCGAATTGTCGTGTGCTTTTGCTGTGACCAGTTTCTCATTAATTTGCAAGCAGTTCACTGCTGCCAGCCGGCCAGCCAGGCAAGAGGGCCTTCAAGCCCTTGAATATCAACTACACGGTGGCCAGAGGCGGCAATGCTCCTCCAGCACTGGGAACGGCGGCTCCTAGCAGCCTAGCAGATGTGCTCAGACAGAAGCGCTCACAGCAGGTTCGGATTGGACATGCCCCGGGGTTGCCAATATGCGTATACAGTGGATGTACGTATCGAGGGGCACCTGCAAGGGAAACCCCGCACGGCGCATACCAGTCATGCTGTCGCCCGACACCGGTCGCCAGGTCCTTGACACTGGGCCTCCCAATTTGCCAGCGCTGAATGCTCCCAGCGAGCGGCCCACTCCATGGACGCCGTCGGGCTTAACCTGGGCTGAGAAGCTTCAGCTTTCTCAGGAGCCTGTGCAGGAGGAAGGCGAATCAACGTCTTTGAGGGAAGTGGAGATGTTGTAGATAGGTCAGGTTGGCGCCCGTACTGTGCATTTGGCTAGTGTTCATCGTGGCTTTATGGTCCAGCATTGGGCCACTTCATGGATGACGACCCTTGTTATCCATCCGGATCAATTTGCATGTGAGAGTGCACGCCTTCCCTGTAGCAGCCTGATTCTATTCACACCCCGTGGCCCTGAGCAAGAGAGTCCCGCCATGACTGGATGTGTAATGAGAGATCCTGGTAGGTAGAAATAGAGCTGAGAGCTGAAAAAAGCCTAGGGCCGGCCAACTGACCGCAAGCTGGCTGACTGGTTTGCAGTATATAATGTTATACCGAGGATTTGAGTTTGCCCTGCAGATGCCAGGGAGCAATCCAGCAAAGACCTTCAAGACAGAGTGTATACAGCAAGCTATGCATCATACTAGGAGACCCATATGGAGACCCTTAGCCTTTACATCTTTACGCGTCTTGTCATCTTGCCCGCGATAGCTCCTCGCACCCTTTTCGCGCAGGTGGTTGGCACCATGTGCAACGCTCTGTGGTGTTGCAGGTGCGAGTACGCGCCAACAGGGCGGAACATGTGGTGGAGGCCACCTCAGAAGAAACGGTGTCCTGGATGGATTGGACCTCCTGACTCCTGACAAAACCCTTCATTGATTTGTGTTTTTGATGAGTTTGATGAAGCTGAATATGGGGAACTTTAGGGACTTTCTCAAGGTGGGATTTCGCATGAAAGAGCAGCTGGTTCTGCTGATGTGAAACATACATAGTCAATCAACATTGGCCCCATTTGTTTAAAGCAGCTCTTCCAATTGTTCTGTTCTAAGGGGTCCGACCTTTCCCTCTTGCATCACCAACCCAGATGATGCCAGTGGCAACAAGGCTACGTTCCGATATCCTGCGCCCGGTAGATCCCCTCCAACATGCCAAGGTGGGGGATGTGAAGAAACGCTTGGAGAAGATGCACGGCTTTGCCTTTAATTTGCAACGGCTCCTCCATCTTGGTCGAGTATCTGGGCGACGGATGGGCAATTCAGGGTCAAGCCGACCAACATGTTCGGCATCGATGGTTTACCTTCTGAAAACTCGTTGGGAGCTGCCGTTGTTGTTGTGGCGGTGATGGTGGTTACAGCATGTTACAGCGGCTACAAGTGTTTCTTTTGGGGTTGATGAGAGTGGGAGAAGAACAGCATCAATCACTGGCTTCCAATGCATAATGTATACGAAAACGTTTGATTGAAGTCTTTGTCGTACTTGCCAGCTTATGCACTTGCGCCCCCCTTTCGAGACACAAGTTGAGCAGAACTCCAACCTAAGACATGAACCGAAAGAAGCGGAGATGCAATTGCCTTCTGGCTTTGGCTAGACCATGAATGTATACTATGATATATTGTATGTAATATATGTACTTATATATATATATATCTGAGGGGCTTGGCTGGTGTGCAGCTGTAGGGGGAGACAACCCGCTTCATTTGCCTGACACGGTCGGTCGAGCACACGCTCGGTCTCGCTAAGGAGCTCCAAGACGATGAGGCCTTGCAGAGTTTGTCGGCCACCAACGGCCAGATCGTCATGCAGCTGGTCATGCGGCAATCGGCCCCACGCCCGGCCAACCTTCAGAAGCTCAGAGCAAAAGAGAGCCCGCCAGAGCTGATGACTAACCGAATAACATGTGAGTACAAAAAAATAATCCCGGTAACATGTATTACTGTAAGTAAGGAAGGTTCGATTCGCAGGTTCAGAAATAGCTCGGCCACCGCTTGTTATTCTGTTGCTTATCTTGGAGATGCTACCTTGTCGCGCTAGCAAAACGCAGGGTTGCGCTAGGTTTGGCGCTAGGTTCAGGTACTTAGGTAAGATTAACAAACAACACATACATACATTGACCATTAAACTTGTTGAGGTATGACCGGACAACCTGTGGGACAAAACATTCTTTAGCTGAGTTTTTGGCTGTAATTGGCTTATGTAAGCAGGGGACACCAACACCCATCCATTGCGGGCATGTTCCCATTGCGGTTCGATTCTTCGTGAGTGGGAGAGCTATTGTATAACTATTTCAAAGCTAGGAAAGCCGGCAGACCGCACAGCGTGCTCTTGATCACAGCCGTGTGGCCTGAGGCACTGGCAGGGGAGCGCGCTAGACCCGCGCTAGATGCGCGCTAGACCACTTTGCAACTTTAACCACTTGTCCAACTGCATACATCTCAATACACTAGAGACATACACACAAGCGGATTGCCTGCATCACGTTGCGCTGGGGTGATGAGAGTGGGTGAAAAGACGAGAAAGACAGCTGGGGTGGGGGCTTTGTATGCACGAATAAAGAGAAGAACCGTAGGAAAGCCAATGAAAGCCATTGATCATATCTCAACTTGTTTCTGGGTAAAGAGGACTGCTACTTTCAGCTTACGTTTGGAACCGATTGACCTTTAAGTAAGAATTCAGCTATAAAAGGGGCACATGCAACATACAACCATATACATGAGCATTTGTTGCGTGCATGAAAGCCACCGCTTGGAATTGCCGTGGCTTGAGCCTAGCATAATGATTTTAGAGCATTTTTTCAGCTGGGTGTGATGGGCGTGGTTGAAGAACAAGTGTTCGTCATGTCCATTCTGTGGGGCTTTCTGGGTACGATCAAGGCCTTGCTTCTCCATACAGGCAAAAAAACAACAACATTATGATGCTCCTGAACACCAGGTGGCAAAGAAATGAAAATGCATTTCTAATTGCGATGAGATGTGTGCGTTCAAGAACAGTTCATAAAGCAAACACTCCATTAAACCATGAAGTATACGTTTATTAAAAGGACCTTTTTGCCTTGACGTTGGTAGGTGAACACGTGGCAGAGCATGTCCTTGATGTGCACTGGTAAAACTTACAGCACGTACAGCTTCCCTGCAATTCTGAATGCTTTGCGAAACGATTTTTTAAAAATGACCGTCTCAGCGGAAAGCCCAGGCTTCGCTTGCAGATGCCCGGCGGCAGCCAGCCCATGGCCACAGAGGTGCCAGAGAAGGTCACCGGAGACGGCTTGAAGGAGTTCCTTGGACATGGCTGCGAAGTCGTGGCACCAGGAACCTGCCTCACACAAGAACTACGGTAGACTTTCTTGATGAGTTTTGGAAGAAATCAAGGGTGGTGGAGTTGAAGTGCGTTCAACATTCAAGATGCTCAGTTGGGATTGGAACCCGGCGGATGGTGTTTCATGTTTTCTCCACCTGGCATGTTGAGCCGAATGTGATCCGGTACATCAATTTGTTAAGAATGTTATTTAGCTCGGTTGGGTGTAGTGAGCGGTGAACTGTGAAGGGGGTTCCATCGCGCATCTGGTTGCCCCTGAAGATTGCAATGCTTGCTTGGAGAGGCAAAGTTTTGAGATCCTGTGCTAGGTCATCCGTTGTCATGCCCTCACCCAGCTGCAGTCCTGGAATAGCCAGCTTCAGCAAGATTTGAACGTCCAACTTGTGGGTGATTCCCGCAGCTTGAAGTGCCGCAACTTTTGGTGAGGAGAAGCAAAGGCACGAAGGCATGAACGGCAGCTTTGGTGTGTTGCAAAGCTCCGGTGTTGCTACCTTTCCCCAACCTGGGCACGAACAGGAAATCGTGAAACATCGTGAAGTTCGTGCAGGTTGAGGTTTTTCATGACCGTCAATGGGATTTCATGTCGAACAGGTAGGTAGTCAAAATCCTGCAGACATGCCCCACTATGTATAAATGGCACCAGCAGTTGAACCCAGACGATGAAACAAATTTGCAAAGTGCCGCGGGATGCACTAGGTTCTTGGGGGTTCTCGGGCTTCTCCCTTTTGAGATTCAGCTTAGAGAGATCGGTTTCTTGGGATGATGTTGCACCCTGATGGACTGAGGCAAATCCAGAGGGAGCATGGTATCCGTAAGGAACTTTGGCGATGATATGTGTTCCTTTTCACGGTAGTTGATTCTGGATAAGACATGCAAAAAGGTGTGTTTTCGCTTTCATTATGTTTTGTCCTCAAAGTATTGGGGTTGGTTGCAACGCTACGCGTTTCGACGGCCGAAAAGGAGTACTGTACTCAGGAGTGCTTGCCCCTCAAGATGTCCCAATGCTGAGTCTTAATTAGTCGCCAACACATCCATTTAGTTTGGTCATGCCTTCACCGGATGATCGTCCTCGACATCAGATTTCACCGAGGACCACCTAAGCCTCAGCTTTTTCGGCCACCCTTTGCAAGATCACCTGACCCTAGCACAGCAGGGCGTTGCCAACGGTGGTTGTAGCTTGGAATGTTGGGGCAGCTGGCTGTCCAACCAGGAGTGAGTGAGACAACCAGGGTCAAGCACTATAAAGCAATCAGTGACCACGGGTCATCTTAGTGGGCCGGACAAGCGAGAGGAGTTGTGGATGCACCAGAATCACCAGAATCCTGTATACATAATCCTTCAACTAGTCTTATCAGCTTTCCCAGGTTGTTCGCTTTTCCTGGCGGTTCCTAAGGGTCAAGCAGGCAAGGAAGCCAACACGGAAATGGTGTTCTGTATTGTTCTGTCATGTTCCATGATTTCACTCATATCACGTTCCAGATCAACTGTGAAGCTCCAAACATGATGTGTAAATCCGATCTACTGGTATTTCAAGTTGATTTCATCAACCCTGACCTCTCAGTGCCCATGCTTTCGGCTCGAGGCATCTCCGTGTCTTTGGCACCACCACCCGAGCGGCCCGAGCAGCGGTTCCCGGCACCGGAGCCGCCGGAGCCTTTGGCCGAAAGCGTGACATTCTTCGACATCCCCTGTTCGATTTACTGCAATAGATAACAAAATGCACGGTTGGTACAACTAATTACAAGAAATCCTACCCCCCCAACTCCCCTTAGGTCCAGGGGGATCCTGTTTGTAAAGGAACATATGAAAATCGAGTCTTCCAGTGGGGACATGTTCCACTTCCATGTGAGTCTGAGTGTAGCCCTTGACATCCTTTGATTCTTGTTTTTATGACTTTCTCGGTGCAAGACAAGCAGGAAAACAATGGATAATATGCAAGCACGACTTGGCAGGATTTCCAAGCTCGGACATTTGAGACCCTGAGAGCCCAAAGAAAACCATATGTAGATTCAGATATCAGTATATGTAAATTGCACAATTGAGATTGTTTGAGCACATGCACATCGTCACAGTTCAAGGTTTTCCATCCTTGCCTCGAGCCACCAGAAGCTAAACATTCTTGATGAATAGATACCAATACTACCCTTTGCCAGCTAGATTAAATGAAAGAAATGAAAGCTTGATTACTGTTGCCTGTCTATGCCTGTTTGGGTGCGTTGGACAAATTTGGGCATGATCTTGGGGGCAGTCTATTTATGGCTGTTCTGGTGATCCTTTCAATACACACTCCCAAAACGGATTTGGCACCAGTCTTGCTGGAGACGTATTCAGGACCCAGCATATTGGGCGCATCGGGGAAGCACGAGCAGATGTGGAGGATCCAAACATATTGCTTTGCCCTCGTGTTTTTGGTGCTGAACTATGTTTAAGAATTGCCCCGCACACCTACTAACTTGTATTATCACAACATGTTATACCGCCGTTTCGCCTTGTCGGTGATCACATTCACCTCTGTTGGCATGGCAATCGTTCAACATCCACGTTTGTGGCATATGATCCCCGAGGCAAGAGACACAGATGAACGGACGCAGCTGATCCAAAAGGTCTTTGCTGCATTGAATCGAAGCCACACTGGCCACCTCAATGCAGATGAAATGCGGCCCTTTGCCAACCAAACCGGTGCCTTAGCATCATGTATCAGTACGTTTCTCTTCTGGCTTGGGTGCCGACGGTGCTGAGGTTTGCGAGCCAGTTTTGCGTGCCGAATAAGTAGGCAGACTGTGGTCCTTTGAGGTCCGAAAGCCGGTAGATCAGAAGTGCTTCGCGTTGCTGAACTCTTGTTGCGGAGTGTTTTGACTGATTCCTCTTCTTCAATTCCAGTTTTGATGTATACTGCATGTATTAGTATGCATATATGACAATAAGTATGGTACACCTTTGATTCAAGGCATATGTGCCTTTTCAATCCTGTTCTGTGAATCATTGATTGTTGTAGCAATGTGATCAATGTGCATTCTTTTGCAGATTGGGAAAGCATGGTTAGGGCATGCACTGACAAGTTTGCTGGTGCTGAGGCTTTGAAGGCTCGGATGCGGAGTGGCGAGGAGAATTTGATTCGCTTCGGCATGAGTGCGGCACAGCTGCAGACAAGAGTCAGCTCGATTGACTGTTGACCTGCCACTTGATTGTGTCGATGTGTTATCTCCTGCGCCAACAAAAACACACGCACAGAGAATGCTTTGCTTGAAACCACCACTGTTTTGGAGAAGTCGTTCGTGATTCATGCCATATGTTCGTTGTTTGCGCGACCAAAGAGTCACAGTTTCCGTGCTGGCAGAGTCCGTGTCACATGGTCACCGCTGAGGTGGCTCTGGCCCAGGGATTTCACTGCACCACTTTCAGCGATTGGTCAATGAAACTTGGAGAGTTGATACATTTCAATTTCGATTTGGAGGGAACATTTCAATTTCTGTGATGGAGTTCCATTCCCCTTTGCTCTGGAGCTCATTGACTCACTTTCCCAGGGCTGATGGCTGACATGATAAGCTTGGAAAGTTCCAGAATGTACCAGATACTTTCCGCAAAGTCTACCAAGTTGCCAACGCCAAAAGTTCAAGACTCACAGGAGCTGATTTGCATGAAGTTTTTGTGGGGCCGTACTTCAAGTAACTATTCACCCACATCCGTTCCTTCTTTTGGAAGCCAAGGCTTGCTTTATGGCAGTTGTGTCACAGGGCCACGGGGAGACATGAACTGGTTCCCCAAGAACCACCTGCGCTTCCCAAGTGGACAATGGATTATCAATCACTGGCAGGGTGCGTGATTTCTTTCGTGCCCCGAAGGGGGTGTGCAGTCAGGTGCATGAAAGACAAGCCCGTTTGCATAGAATATGTTTCGTCCAGCGTTTCACTTGGCATGATGTGGATTCCTACTGTCATTGTGGCCTTTTCTTGAGGTTGCAAAATGGTACGTTGTTTTCGCGGTTTTGTTCGGAAAGCTTTACAATTATGTATGTATTGTACATTTAAGCTCAGTTCTTTTCGGTGGGGTGGAGGAACTTGCTATGAGAGACCCTGCTAGAATCTAGATTGAAGGCTTGCAGTTGCGAGGTGTATAGTATGGTGTCCAACTATGTCCAACTCTAGTCACTAGTCATCCCAGAGGGAATCCAGCATCTCTGACGATGTTACGTTCCCAGATATTGAAAACATGATTGTACGGCATGCCATGTTTTGTTCACCCGGCGGTCCTTCAACAGAAAATGGGAGGCATTTGTGTGTCTACTTTCCACATGTCAAAGTGGGGAAATGCCTATCTTCGGAGGCAGCCACACGGCAAAGCATTTTTAAGTGCAGTAGAGTACAGACAGCTGAATTCCGAAACCAACACCGCGATTCAGAAACCAAAAATCCGCGATTCAGAAACTAAATTTCCGCGCTTCAGAAACTACAATTCCGCGATTCAGAAACCAACAAGCAACCAAAAAACAACGATTCAGCAACCAAATGCACAGTTGGTTAGGTGGGGTGGTGGTATGGGGCTGGGGTAATAACGTTCCTGGTGATGGCAGCTGGGTACTGAATCACAGTAGGTTGGGTGGGGTGTTGGGATGGGTCTGGGGAAATAACGTTCCTGGGAGATGGCAGCTGAGTACTGCATCACAGCAGGTTGGGTGGGGTGTGGGATGGGGCTGGGCTAATAACGTTCCTGGGAGATGGTACCTGGGTACTGAATCACACTAGGTTGGGTGGGGTTGTGGGATGGGGCTGGGGCAACAACGTTCCTGGCAGATGTAGTGACCGTGCAAAACAAGGGCAGTTGGGTTCTGAATCACAGCTTGGCTTCGTCGTTGTGCTTGGTTTCCGAATATGCGTTTTGGCTTCCGAATAACATTTTTTTTGTTTCCGAATAATGTTTGGTTTCCGAATCATCGTTTTGGTTTCGGAATAAAACTGCAACCCTCTGAGTTCCTATATAATATCCTTTTAGCAAGTGCCGTCCTCCAGACAGATCCGCTGCAATGTGGACACGCAAAAAGAAACAACATGGATATATGAAGGGATGCATATAAATAACTGTGATATCATAAAAATGATGCAGTTGGTTGCAGATGTTGCACCAATGAGCCATTGGGAGGGCCCAAGATTTGCATATTTGTTCAGTTCAGCACGCTGACGAGGATGACAGCGATGCTGGTTGCTACTGTTTGGATGACGAGCTCCGAACATTGCTGCAGTCCGTGCAGAGAGCATCGACGAGAAGTTTGGTTTGCAATTGGAAGCATCCAAACGCTATAGAAACTTCATCCAGGGGCTGTAAGACCACTGCCAGCGTACTAAGTGGTTGAGTTTTCCATTTGAGGCTATTAAGGCTTCATGCCACATGTGTGAGGCCATGCCAACCGCCAAAAGGGAAATTCAGACCAGGTAGAGAAAGGTGCCCAGTCGATAAGTAGTCATAGTAGTGAGTAGTTTTTCCTTGTCCCACTTTTCTCTCTTTGTCGTGTCTACCGCTCTTTCCTTCTCCCTGCTATCTCCTCCAAGAGGGGATTAGGTTTAACGCCCCTGGCAGCAGAGAAACAATGTTCTATGTGTTTTGCTCTTGATTGCTCAAGTCCTGCGTGTAGGTTTCCATAAGCCCTCGGGGTGCCTGCATGACCCATGGCCCTGTTTGGGGTCAGGCTAGCCAGACATTCATCAATTTGAGACCTTCAGAATGGAAGATCATCCATCAGAGCTTGTATATACTGTATATATATATATATATTTATATAGGTATTATATACTACCATTATGCATTAGTGTTACATTGTTACTATTATGTGTTATATTATATATATATATTGCCATATTGCTATTCCCTCAAGTTTGCCCTTCCGGTGCAAGAATGTGTCACAAATCATAATATTTCCATTTCGAGGGAATCAATTAGTCTGGAAGGATGAAACGGCAAACAAGTAAGAGGACGCTACTAGGAGCAAAGGGCATCGCTACTAGGAACAAGGACGATACTAGGGGCTCCTGGCCTTACTACTAGGAGCAAGAAGCTACTAGGAGCTTTTTCACGCGCGCTCTTACTTTCAAAGGATGATTTGGGGCCCGCTCTTGCTTTCCTCGGGTGAGTTCCCCAAGGCACTTCGGCACCGCCGCCACCAATGCCGCCACCGAAGCCTGGGAATGGAAAGGCCGACGGCCTGACAAAGGGGCCAAATCTGGAGCCAAAGAGAGCAGCACCGCAGCCGGAGCCTCGAAACCGAGGGCCGCCCGCAGCGCCCGCAGTTCTTTGGCCGCAGTTGGCAAAGAAGGTTGCATACTCGGCTACAAGGCTCACGTGCACGGAGATATTATTCGAAGGGTCCATTTCAGAAGTCATTCAACTGTCAAGAGATAATGAGTGGCACAGGCACAGTTCACAAGACACCATTTCACTCAAGAACATGCCTTGAGATGGATGGTGCCAGGAAAGCTACCCTCTGACTGTGTGCACTACAAGATAAACACAAAGACTAATGACCTGAGCACTGGTGACCATAGTGACCATTGCATTGAGACAATCCGAGGCCGCTGATGGAAGGACTCGGCTAATTGAAGAGGTGTTCACTGCTTTGAATCGAAGTCGCACTGGCAACCTCAATGCCGATGAAATGCGGCCCTTTGCCAACCAAACAGGTGCCTCGATTCGTGCTGTGGGCTACAGCTCATTATTGATATATGCTTTGATAAGTGCGTTGATATGCTTTAATAATGAGCCTGCGGCATGTGTCTTAACGAGCCTTGTGGCCATAAATCCCTAGTTTTCTGTAGGCTACTTCACCTGTTGGCTGGCTGGCGCGTGGGGCAGGAAATGGTCTAATTTGTCTTGGGGCAACGGTCACGTGTGCAGGCTTTCAGGGCTCAGATGCAGAGTGGCAAACGGAGTTTGATTTGCTCCGGAAAGAATGTGGCAAAGATGCAGCAAGACAGTTCACATACAAATGCATGTCATTTGCCCAAAGACGGCGCGTGTAGATATGTAAGTGCAGTTGATTCCTGTGTGTCTTGGAGTGTCACTGTCACTTTTATTTGCTTTCTAAGGTGGCTCCGGCTCAGGGATTTCGTTGCACCACTTTCGGCACTTGGTCAATGAGACTCGGAAAGGAGAAACACAAGAGGGAGGACCCCTAAAGCATCGCCGGTTCCCAGCACCGCACCGGCCCAGTAGCGACACTGAGGATGACAGCGATGCTGGGTGCTACTGTTCAGATGGGGAGCTACGAACCGTGCTGCAGTCCATGCAGAGAGCATCGACAAGAAGCTTGGTTTGCAATTGGAAGCATCCGAAGGATCCAAATCCCATAGAAACTTCGCCCACGGTCTGTAAGACTGTAAGGCCACAGCTAGATTAGATTGCGGGTCATAGAATGCAAAGCATACTAAGTGGGTTTGAGTTTTGCATTTGACTGCTCTTAAGAATTTCAGAGAGCAGCAACACAAGGAGATATGAGCACCCCATGCCTCAATATATGACACTTCGGTGCATTCAGTTCCCCCAAAATTGGTAGATTAATTTAAACCATAGTATCCAACAGCGGCGCGAGAATCTTTCTGAGAAACAGCGACCAACAGTAACTGTAGCAGTTTCAATGCCAACCATCATCCATGGCATAGGTGGACATCACGGGACCTCCGACGACTCTCCTGACGCAGCAAAACAGCCAAACAATGCGCCTGTCGTGCGACGTGCTCACTTGCCAACGGAAGAAAACAGGGCACCACAGCAGCCTACAGGCATGCTTCCTACCTGAGCCTCAGTTAAACACATAAATGGACAAATCGCAGAGTCAGTCCCGAAATCGTTTTGACCTGTTTTGAGATGTTTTGAGCCTTTTTTGAGGAAACAATCTGTCCACACTGGGCAGACCGTTGCCTCACACCCAACTCCCATTGGTGGGATCCTTGCAGACCGGTCACCGCTTTTCTCAGGCCAGGCGCCACAAAGCCAAGTGCCTCGCAGAGGTCCTGCCCTTTGGTGCAAAGCGGCGGTGACAGGTCGGAGGGTGTCACCGCTACGAACGGAGCAATGACGCTACTAGGGGCTCCTGGCATCGCTACTAGGAACAAGAAGCTACCAGGGGCTCCTGGCCCTACTACTAGGAGCAAGGACGCTACTAGGTGGAGGCCATCGCTAGGTTGGAGTCCAGAAGCTACTAGTAGCAATGGCCTCCAACCTAATAGCGGTGGCCTCCACCTAGTAGCTTTTTGTTACTAGTAGCTTCGTGTTTCCCCCAGGTCGAGTGGCATGTTTCTGGATTTGGATCCAAAAGCAAAGACTGAGGTGAACACTGTGTCGACTCGTCGACTATGCTGTTTCATTTTTAGTGTTTTGGATGTGTTACCCGACCCCCCACATAAGCTGATTCGGCATTCCCAAGGACTACGGAGCCCCCAATGGCGATCAGGGCATCGTTGATCGCCAAGCTGCAGCTACTTTTGACAAAGTGGGTTAAGTGGAGGGGCCAGATTTGTTGATTATGTAACATGTACATTGAATTATCATCAGGGAGCTGCTGTATGCATATATTATATTTTTTCTTTTTTTTTGCTCAGGCTTTTTTTTATAATCAATCAATTCATAGACATGACCAGTATTTTGATGTTCTTTGTTGTTGAGCTACTTCAAGTTCTTCCTTGGTGGCCGAGGCCAAAGCGGCCAAGGCAATCAACGATGAACGGACTCAACTCATCCAAGAGATTTTCACTGCTTTGAATCGAAGTCGAAGTGGCCACCTCAATGCCGATGAAATGCGCCCCTTTGGCGACCAGACCGGTGACTTGGACTGGGCTGAGGCTGGGGCAAAACTCAGGGGAAGCTGGAGAACAACGCAGCCAAGAAGCTGCAGCTATGAAATTTGTGTGTGTGGAGTCACAGGGAACCTGTTGGTTTTTAGTGTAATAGCAGGGGGCATCCGGCCATCACGCAAACGCATGCCAACGAAGCTATGCGTGATGGTGGAAGCCAGGTTTGATATGGTTTGATCGACCTGATGTACCTGCAAGTTGTGATGCTTCTTAACTACGATCCCTTTCTAGAGTCTTGGAGGCTGTTTCAGGATAAAGATGGTTTTGCTGCTGTCAAGGGCTAATGCACTCGTCGTCGACTTCGTCGCCCTTTGGAACCTTTGGTAATTCTTGGGCTTTTGAGAATTTGGGGCTCAATGACCATGATCAGACCGTCTTACATGTACTCTGACCTAGTCTCTCCTGGCTTCTTAGGCTTTCATACCTGCGTGTGGCATGCGGCTTTTATTTCAATATGGGTTTTTTCGAGTGTGCTTGGCCTAGTGCCAGCCCGGGGTGCGCCCGAAGAGTGCGCCCCGTGTCCTTGCTGAGCAGGGTCTTTCCCGGGAACAGAGGAGTTTGCAGCGGACGAAGGAGCCTTAGCACAAACGTGAATTAAGACCTGTCGGCTTGGCATGCACTTGCCCCTGGCACGCCGTGAGTAGTCCAGAGCGGACAAGAGCAGCCCGCCATTTTGGCATGGCACGTTTAGGCTGCAGCGGCCGTAGCACACTCAAGGCCCATTGGGGCCTGTCCGAGCCTTAAGGGCACATACAGCGCCCATTTACCAAACCAGGCTAGGTCAGCCTAGGTCCACTCAATGAGGCTTGGCTTCGTTGTTTTCCTGCCCTTCCATTTGGTTCCCCCTTTCATCCTTTCCCCTTCACACAAAAACACACACACACACACTTTCCTCTTTCGTTTCATGTCTTCTCCGTCTTCATGTCCCGTCCTCTCACTTCGTTCTTTCTTCTGCACACATCGGTCCGGCCCTTAGCATGTACGCGCGCATCTACACTTAACCCATGTTTTAGGTCGTCCAGGACTTGATAATGAGATATGGTTCATTGATTGTCCCTGTGCATTTGGTTTCCGCTTCATCGCAACCACACACTTTCGTCTCGTCTCGTCCCCGTCTCATGTCTTTGTCCTTTTTGCGCTCGCACTCGCACATTAGTTTGCCCCTTAGCTTTTGCCCCCCCCTACGCGGGGGGCGTATGTGTGTGAAACCCTTGGAGTCACAGGGAACCTGTTGGTCTTTAGTGTAATTGCAGGGGGCATGCGGCCATCAAGCAAACGCATGCCAACGAAGCTATGCGTGATGGTGGAAGCCAGGTTTGATATGGCTTGATCGACCTGATGTACCTGCAAGTTGTGATGCTTCTTAACTACGATCCCTTTCTAGAGTCCTGGAGGCTGTTTCAGGATGAAGAGGTTTTTGCTGCTGTCAAGGGCTAATGCACTTGTGTTTGACTTCGTCGCCCTTTGGAACTGTTCGTAATTCTTGGGCTTTTGAGTATTTGAGACTCAATGATCTCAATGACCATGATCAGACCGTCTTACATCGTCTTACATGTTCTCTTACCTGGTCTCTCCTGGCTTCTTAGGTTTCCATACCTGGGTGGGCGTGTGGCACGTGGCATTCAACACGAATTTCCCTGAGTGTGTGCGCGTGTGTTCGTTCGCCTTTCCCTTCCGAATTGTTATCCTGAGGAACTTGTAGGGCAAGCTTCAGTTTGATAGTAGGTTGATGTAGATTGATCTCATATACGCTCTAACTCTGAAGTTCACCCGGCCAAGTGTCAACTACAAGAAGGATGGATTGGTCATGCCGTATTCCAGGCGACACAACTGGCGTTGCGATGAGGTTTCGAGGGCACAGATGCAGAGTGGCGACAAGAGTTTGATTTGCTCCGGAAGGAATGTGGCAAAGCTGCAACAAAACGGTGTTTATGCACACTTCGGCGGGCCCCGCATCAGGCTGTGTTTAATGCTGTGTTTGTCTCCGTTGCCACCATTGCCGTGGGATGCAGTATTTGGTCAAATCAGTGATATCAGTGCAAGTCGTATCCCCCGGCCCCCCGCCACCGTGTCCCGCAAAGAGGGGTTGCGACCTGTTAGCCCACTCAGGTGGCTCCGGCCCGGGGATTTCACTGTTCCACTTTCAGCGCTTGGCCAATGACACTTGGAGAAAAGGATCAAGACCCTACATACTAATCATATTACTTACTACTGCTGCCACCACCACTGCTACTGCTGCGACTGAGCTTGGCCAATAGAACTCTGGGTGTTGTGAAGGCAGTACTGTTCAGTCGATCCTCCTGGAAAATCAATGGCTAGGCCGGCTAGGTTTGCCGATTGGGACATCTATATACTGCAACTTGCTTTCCACTGGCCTTGTACTGGGTTCGCGCAACATCACCGAATACTTATTCTTGACTTACTATTTTTTATGGTTTACCATGAGTGTGTGAATGTGATGTTTCTTTTCCCATCATCCACGAAGGGAGTTCTTGAGACGTGACATGCCACTACCCTGCACCATGTTGCAAACCGGGTGCACTGTAGCTAGAGAACGCCGCACAAAGCGCCGGAGGATTCAAGCGACGATGGTTGCTACTGCTCTGATGAGGAACTTCGAAGACTGCTGCAGTCCCTCCAGGGAGGATCGACTAGCTGCTTGTTTCGTGTTTACGGTTTGGGCCACAGGTTTTTCCAAGGTCCAAGGGGTGTACGACCGCAAATATGATATGATATATAAACATGCCATGCAACTTAGCAACTACCACAGGGCTGATGCAAGCGGGGTTGAGGTGGTACTGAACCTTCACCTCCTCAGGTGCCTCAATGCCGCCAGAGCCACGAAACTGGGCACCTGCAGCAACTCGGCACCTGTGCTGCTGCGCCCTTTGGTTGTTCGATGTTTGTCCTCATGGATCTTTCGATCGGGGCCCTGAGTATGTCAAGGAGTCAAGGATAAGGTTCGATCCCCGCTGTACACCAAGCTTGATTCCAAGGATTGGATGGAATCCCCTTTGTGAAATCATGTTACGAGATGAGATAGACCAGCAAACCTGAAATGCCAAAGAACCCGGAATCCCCTTAGCAATCCTTTTCAGAAGGTGTCATAGTCATAGTGTGATGGACATGATGAACCCGGTTTTGGACAATGGGATGAAGTTAGCAAAAAAATCCTCGACAGTGGCGCACTATAGCCCATTGTGATTCAGAATCCGGAAATGGCGAACGGGATGGAAGAATAGCCGAGCCCAAATATTAAAATATTGCCACATTATAATTAGAGCTTCACCATTGAGGAATTCGATTTTGCGGTGTTTGCATGACACGTCACCAAGGCAAAGGGCAATGCCGATGAAAGAGTTCAGCTCATCGAGCAGGTGTTCAACACCTTGAACCGAAGTTGCACTGGCTACCTCAATGCGAGTGAAATGCGGCCTTTTGCCAACCGGACTGGCGACTTGCGATCGTTTGGAGCACTTTTGTATACTTTTGTAGCTTCTTGTGCGTGTTTTGAGTACCAATGTTCGGATTGCAAAAGAGACCAGCTGAGGGCAGGGACAGCACTCCAAACTCCAAACTCATTGCATATAACAAGCCAATTCTAAGCCATTTTCTTCAAGGTTTCGATGGCACAGATGCAGAGTGGCGGCAAGAATTTGAATTGCTCCAGAAAGAGTGTGGCAAAGCTGCAAAAATTCAAACATGGCATCGCAACCATGAATTGGCTGGCAGAACGTGGTGAAAGGGTACTCTTTCACTGCATTCATGGCTGTGGGCAACGGTCACCGCATCCGGTAGAGGAAGTTTTAAACCGCAACATGTTTGCATGGAGGCATGGAGGCAGCTCATTTGTTCATGATATTTCTGTAGAGTTGGTGGTTGTCCCGTGACAGGTTGCGCATTTTCGGGTTGGCTAAGGTGGCTCTGACACAGGGATTTCACTGCACCACTTTCACCGCTTGGCAAATGAGACCTGGAAAGAAAGAGTGGGTGGTAATCTGACATTCGTGTTTGGTTCAGTTGGGGTTGTTGCAGCTTCAAAGTGCAGGGCAGAAACGAACGAAGAATACATTCTTAGCATTTCTTATATAGCTAAATTAGACACAACCAACGCGCCTTTGGCCTCTCCTTCTTTCCGTGAAAACAACTCAGGCTAGCTGGGCTGAGGTTTTTCCGAAGCTATATATGTCATTATGTGTCACACAATTCGCATACTGCGCAACTTTTGCATGAGGAGGGTCAATGAATGAACCCTGCTGCTATTTCCCGAGAAGTCAGTTGCTGCTTGACCAGTGGAGTGAACCAGACGTGCCCCGAGTGCATAGTCAGAGTTATGGTCGGTTGCCACCCAAGCGACTGCCGTTGGTTACCAGACATCCACAAATGCGAGGTTATAGAACCGATTAGAATTAGAATCGTAAAATCTGTACTGATCCAGAACTCGTTTGTGGTCCTCAGGACTCCTCCGACGATGGCTGCTATTGTTCGGATCAAGACCTTCGAGGATTGCTTCAGTCCATGTCGGAAGGCAACTCAGCGCCTGTGAGGCCGCCTGTGACGCCGCCTGAGCCTCACAGGCCAGCAGTCCTTTGGCCCCACTATTGACAGTATGTCAATGTATGTCAGTGCAAAAATAGTCTAAAACGATCTAAAATGAACATACGGATCCCCATCTAGTTTCGTGGCATGTATATATGGCGAATCAAATGCATTTCTCCAGTCGAAAAGGGTCCAGGTGCTTCCTTCGTACTGACCCACTGCACATAATCACCAAGGACTATGGAACCCTGAATGGTGAGGCGGCCGCCACTACGAATCAAGCTCCCTGGTTGAATGAGGTGCGCAGAATATCCTTGGTAGGCCATTCCTAAACTACAGTTATTACAGTTTGCCTTGCGAGAGGCACCCACTTGTCGAGAGGAATAGCCCATTGTTCTCAAGTGGACTCACTTATATAAAAAGAATGAGGTGCCCACTTAAAATCAGAAACATCGCTAGTTCATGCTAGTTCATCGTATGCTACTACCAGTTTACATGAGTTTACTGCTTGTCAATTCGACCAAGCTTTGGGGGCCATAGTGACGTCGTGTGTTTGTTGGGCTCCAAACCCGCAAGCGTGGCTGCGTGGCAACCTTTGAAAGGATCACTAATGTGTCAGTAGTGCATGCAACATGGACCTTTAGTTAGGGAACACAGTTTGGTGCGACTCACCAGCTTAGCTCTACCACTTGGAAGCAAGGAGTAACAATTCTATCCTGTTACTTCCTCTCCTGCTGCATCTCCTCCACTCCATCGCACTGTACTCCTGCCGTCACAGATTCCTGGAACAGAGGAGGAGCACCAATTGCATGGGGCCAGCCTTAGGAATGAAATTGGGGGGCACTGACTCTCTCAAGTTTTTATCAGTCAATTATATAATTGTCGACATTGCCGACATTGGATGTTGGTGGGGCCCTCAAAAAAGTGTCGGCATGAGGAAACACATGGTCAGACAGCAGAGAGGCAAACACTCCCCCCCAAAAAGGATCAAATTCAATTAATTTTGAGTTGAGGGAGGGAGAGAAAAGAATTGAAAGGTGGTGGAGGGGTAAAGTACCTGTGAAATATTATGAAATCATGTGACATGAATTCTCAGGATATCCTCCTTTGCACTGCCTAAATTAAGTCTGGGAGGTCCACTGCAGTGTTTGAACTTGTGAAGATGCAGAGAAAGAAACGAAGAAGAGGGGAGAAGAGAGGAGACGAGACAACGTGTTAGGAGAGGAGAGGAGAGGAGAGCGATTTCATAATTTCATCAAATATTGTGACATTAATGCTCGGGTGGCTGAGTGCTCGACCACCCCTACAATTACTAGCTATATAACAATTATATACTTAGTTAACTCTAGGCTCCTTGCATTCCAGATCCAGCTACAAACCATGGACAAACACTCCCCTTCACTGCCAATTAATGTATCATGTTAAAAATCATGAAAAAACACTTTGCACTTGTCCAGTCTCAGTGTAATTAACTCAAAAGGGCTGGTATCGTTTGAAGTCGGTGGCTGAATCGGAGAGGTTGGGATGGTTGAGGTAGAACAGGTCCGACTAACCACACATGTGCGCCTCAGGTCTGATTAGGTAGGCTGGCATTGGAAGTGGAAGAAATAAACTAAGGCAAGTCACCCCTCTCCCGAAGGCCCATCTGTTTGTCACAATGGAAACCACCATAAACCACCTCACTTTGTGTTTATATATATATATATAATCATTGCATAACAAATCGTCAGGCAATACGTTAAATTATTGCTTGTTTTCGCATCAAATTTCACACCACCAACATGGCACTTCACAATATTTTTGTTCACTAATCACCAGACATTACATCCTCCCACGACACTTCACCGGCACAGGATGCACCACGCTACAAAAGGCACCATATATTATATAGTTGCACTTCATTGCAGCTCATCACTGGTTGGGAGTGGAGATCACCTAACATTCAATAGGATAGAACTTAGTTGTGAAATGCGTCCTCCTCACCTTGCAATGACAGTTTTTTGAGCTTTCGAACCGAGTCAACGGCACCATTGTGCCTTGCCATGGTACGCGAGGCAATGGGCATTGTCGATGAAAGAGTTGAGCTTATCAAGCAGGTTTTCATTGCACTGAACCGAAGTCGCACTGGCTTCCTCAATGCGAGTGAAATGCGGCCTTTCGCCAACCGAACTGGAGACTCGCAATCGTTTGGAGCACTTGTTTTTTTTTATGTCAACTTTTGTACGGCAATAAAGGCTGATAAGGAGCAGCTCCCAAGAATGAACCTCATGATCCTCATGCCTGATGATCCTTCATGATCCTTCCAGACAAACAAGCCATATTGCACATACATAGCCAGCATCCTTCAAGGTTTCGATGGCACAGATGCGGAGTGGCGGGAAGAGTTTGATTTGCTCCAGAAAGAGTGTGGCAAAGCTGCAAGCAGTCAAACATTGCATCGCAACTGTGAATTGACGGGCAGAACGTGAAACGGTACTGTTTCACTTCATTCATGGCAAGGTATGCGGAAAAATAAACCGGGAACGACACATATGTATATAACTGCATATATATATATATTGCATGGAGGCATCGCAATGTTTTCTGTTGAAATGGTGGCGGTCCTGTGACGTAGGTTTCGCTTTTTCGGGTTGGCTAAGGTGGCTCTAACACAGGGATTTCACTGCACCACTTTCAGCGCTTGGCAAATGAGACCTGGAAAGAAAGAGTGGGTGGTAGTCTGACATTCGTGCTTGGTTCAGTTGGGGTTGTTGTAGCTTCAAAGTGCAGGGTAGAAACGAACGAAGAATTCATTCTTAGCATTTCCTATATAGCTAAATTAGACACAACCAACGCGCCTTTGGCCTCTCCTTCTTTCCGTGAAAGCAACTCAGGCTAGCTGGGCTGAGGTTTTTCCGAAGCTATATATTATTGCATGCGCAGTGGTAGCTGGAACCTGGGGTTTCTGCGGTCTCTTTTGACCATTGCGTGCTCGGCTTGAGCCAAGTTTATGGCATCAGCTTTTGACCAAGTTGGTCCTCAAGAAATGCACAAACCACATTTTATGTTCGTCAAAAGGTGCTTGCGATCATGAAGACTTCATGGCCTCCTCCTCGCTCTGCGAGTTTGCGCTGTAGCGCGGCCCCTTCTTCTAAAATGCTCCACTTTCCGGTGGACATCACCTCTCGAAGAAAGTCACCTTTAGTGTCTTTCGTGAGAGAGTCAGCTAACATAGTTCGCCCATCCACCCACCGAACTCGTCCGTTCATCTCGTGAACTTCCTGCTTGATGAGCGAGATGTCGATGGACGTGCGCTTGTCCTCGCATTGTGAAGCTGGGTTGGTGTCCTTGTTGATGGTGTCGAGCAATTATTTCGAGCCCGTCACGCAGATGAAGGAGAGGCGTGCCACTTCAGTCTGCCACTGGCGAGCCGAAAGGGTGAATCCCTTGGCCTCGAGAATGAGAACTCTGTACTAGTGGACTGAGCCTAGGCCTCGAACTAAGGCCTGAGTCTCGGAGCTGAGCGTGTTGACCGTTCGCCTCTTGAGGCGGTAGCTTTTCCAAGCTGCCAGGGTGACATTCTGCAAGGACTGAGACTCTGGTAGGTCTCGGTCGTAGAAGAAGGTGATCTCTCCCCCTTGGCTGTACAACTTCAAGAGTTGCTCATAGCCCCCATGGATCAGCTTTGCTTCTAGGCATTGTCCTTGTGGTTGCTTCTTGAAAGTGGTCGTACCCGTCCATGGCGAAGGTGCCAACGAGGTTAAACTTGATGAGGAGGTCCACTCGTCCTGGAGGATGTTCTTGGTGTCATTGAGCCTGATCTCGGTGTGGCGATCAGGTAAAGGTCATGGAGATCTGGTCCATCTGGTGCAGCTGCTGGATGGAAGCCTGTAATTCTTGGGACTTGATGATGTCGGATCCATCGGTCTGGTTGTTCTTCCCACCAGTCTGTCTTGGAGTCCTCGAGATATTGTCCAAATTCTCTGGCATTTCCCCAGGCTGCATCCGTGACAACTCCGGCGTGAAGTCGTTCTAGAGGGATTGGCATCACTCGAATGCCCAGTTGTGGTGTGTTCAAGGCTTCCTTGGCAATGGTGTTGGCCATGAGGATGTCCCGGATCAGCGGTCTGGGAAAGGACTGCTGTACCAAGGCGATCTTCCCTGCCAGATCAGCTCGAGTCTCCTTGGCTACCCAGGCCAAGGTGCCCAGAAGGGCTCGGAGTTGTTCAACTTCCACGGGAGTACATTGGGAGTACTTTCTTCGTTTTCTCTCTTTGGCGATGGGAATCTCCTGTACCCGAGCCTTGACGTAGAACTCCTGGTCGATCCGGATGGAACCATCAGGTAGTGGTGTGAAGTCCTTGCCAACAAATCTTCCTTGTCCCCAGGTATATTTTCCCAGGGTATACCTTTGTCGGAGTGTTTCCATACATTCCATGTGTCTCAGAGATCCTCCATGGAGTAGGTCATCCGTAGCCAAGGCGACGATGCCCTCGATGGAGTCCGGATCAACAATAGATTGGCGATATCCCAGTTCCTTGGTGAGGTACTTCACGATATGCTTGAACCAGGCGGATGGGCCGTCGGTGAGTCCATAGCACGTCTTCTTCAACTTGATCAGTTGAGTTGGCTCAACTCCGGGGATTCCTTCTCGTGGTAGTTCCGCATAAAGTTCCCTGTTGATCGCATCTCCACTATGGAAGGCCTGGGTGAAGTCTGCATATCCCGGTTGCCAACCCCTGGATGCCAAGATGTGAGTGGCGAAAACGACCGAGTCTCGGTGTACCTGTGGTGTGCTGGTCTCCAAGCTGAGAAGGTCTGGCTCGCTGAATCCCATCATGACGCGCCTGCATTTTGCTTTTGTCGGACCCTCGCTGGCATTGAAGTCCAGGGTGATGTCTGACGACTTGGCATCCTCAAGGGCGAAGTCCTCAATGGGCTTGCACGTGAAGACGTAGCGTGACTTCATGATCTTGTCTGGCTTGTTTCTTCGGATCTGAGCGGATTCTGCTGGTGACAAGATCTCATAGGCCCCGGTTCCAAGGTTGTTGTTGATCTCTTTGTGGATCGCTTGTTTAAATCTCTCCAGGTCTTTCCCCTTGAAGTCTTTTAGGGAACATTCTCGGTTTTTGCCCGGTCGTGCGGCTCCCCGGGGTCCAAGTTGAAGGTGTAGAGCTTCGAGAAGTTCCAACCGGGATCTCTTCATTGGTGGGATATTTTCCCAACGGTCTTCTGTGTGTTCGCTCCCAGGTCTTTTCTCAGCTTCTTCGCGTGACCAAGTCAGGTGCCAGTGATTGTGTATAGGTGGTCAGCCCCGCTGATGCATCACTGGGCAATCTTACCTGGTGAGGTAGAAGTCCAGGAGGTGGTTCCAACGTCACTTCCTCGTCTTCCGGACCTGGTGGAAGTTCCAAATCCGCCGTGGTGTCCATTTGGACGTCGGAGGCTGATGGCAGTTCTCCTGTCAATTTGCCCGTCTTTTCTTCTTTGATCTCATTCGCTTCTGGGTCCATAGTTGCCTTTTGTCTGACTCGTCGGTTGATGGTTGAACTGATTCCTTTCGCAGCTTTGCTGGGAACAGCGCAAGTTGGGAACCAGGTAACCAGACGAGTTTGCTTCCAAAGCAATGTTGGGGTCAATGAGCCCATGGTTTCATTGCTTGCACTATCTTGCACTTCTCGATTTGTGCCACATGCGCAGCGCGCACTACTGCAGCACACCTGGCGTGCGCGTGTGCATTTTTCTTTGGTTTTTGCGCGCCATAATGCCATGTGTGTTGACAAGCAGATTTTTTTTGGAGGTGCAGGAGATTGAGTTTCAAGTTTCTAGACGCTGTTAAGTTTTAGACGACATGACTTTGTCAAACGTGCGTTGTGTATGTCTTCCACCAGGGTCGCCAGGCTTCGTGTCTTTTGAACATAAAGCCTCAATCTTCTAACTTCCAAAGCTTTTTTGGGGGTGGTGGTGGTTTGATGGGTTTCTTGGCTCGACAAGAAGCTATTCCAATGTCTATAGTGGCATAAGGAGACGAGATTCAGATGGGAAGTAGGAGATTCAACGCCTGGAAAGTGAAAGAACCAATCAAATAGATCAGAGTCAGAGTCAGAGGTTAGGGTCACAGCAGTTCAAGCCACCAGTCCGTTCTGAGCGCGATCATAGTCCCTCGCACACCAGTCCAGCCCCTGTCCAGCCAGCATGTTGGAAACCATTGCCACATACAGTGCGTTTTCTTTCTTGATGTGAAACGCTTTGTAAACGAACAGCAGACACATGGAGTTTGCATGTTTCTTTTGAGCTCACTCTTTGCAAGGATTCAGGCGTTTAGGTTCTACGTAAATTTTTCTGGAGCAAGCTGAAAACCCATTGCCCAACCTGAACACCGCCCACAAATAAAGATCCGCAAGTGCCACGCAAGCAACCAGCCAAACAAGAGCCCTCCTATGTTCTGTTTCTTCCAGTGAACCCACTTGGAAGGCCTTGGGTCGCCTCAGCAGGTCTAGTCACTGCTGGTTTTTGCGCCACTGATGTTTTGTTGAGGACACAGGTGACAGCAGCAAACATTTTGCCAGCAACACGCAAAACAAATACACATATAGCGCAAAACAGTGGAAACCAAGCTGTTCAAGGGCCATGTAGCACCCATATGGATATTTGCGCATGTTTTCTGATGTTATATGCAGCTTTTGCAAGTTTTCAATGTTTTTGTGTCTCCATGCGCACCCCATGAACCATGAAGATCCACATGTGCGCAGCCACCCAGTAGATGTTGAAGTTCAAGCAAGCGTTCGAAAGAGCAAACAGCAGAAACAGGGTTGCAATTAGTTTTAAATGCTTCGTGAACTTGATATTCAGAAGTATTTTGCCTGAACCTGCAAGGTTTTGGGGGAGCGTTCAAGGTTTTGGTGATGTTTTGGGAGCTTAAAACCATAGATTCTCACCTGAAACTCAAGCCTCTTTGGGGACTGTTCAAGTGAAAAATGTGTTCTCACCGGAACTCACCGGACTTCACCGGAACTCACCGGATTTCACTGGATTTGATTGCAAGTAGAGGGGCAAATACAACAACAATTAGCCAAAAGTACCAGGAATGCTGGAAAAACAGACGCATTGCAGTGCAGGAAGTTTGATGAACGCTTCGAAACTGGTGTCGCTCCCGACGGAATCGAATGAACAGTTCAGGGGGCAGAATGCTCTGATACCGTTCTAAAGCATCGAGACCAATAGCCATTCGTTGACACCCCGTATCTATTGTAGCGCAACCAGCTTCAACAGAGGTCTACATAGTAAGAATCTCATGGGTGATGACAGGCGGCACGCTCATGTATACAAACTCCGCTTTGAGTGTCCCTGGAGGTCGGGGCAGAATGGCTAGCCGCGTCAGCATCCAAGTACAGGAACTCAATCTCATCGGAGGTCTCCGCCCGTGATGTAGTGGGTATCTATTGGTTTCCCGTCTCCCTTGCCTCGTCCCTTGTTGGGACATTCTCGACTCCAATGACCCACTTCTTGACATCGATGACACTTCGTTCTCCGTTTCAGTTCTTCGATTGAGACTTTGTAAGTTCCTGGTTGAAGGGCTCCTTCAGCATGGTCAGAAGGACCTCTTTAGCCTCGCCCTCGGTGATCTCCGTGGTAGTTTGTCGGCCAAGGTGGTGAGCAACATCTCCGTGTCCTCGTCCTGAATCAGGTCGCCCTCAATGTCCAGAACAT